CTTTCAACCAGGCTGCATTTATTTGTGTCTGCACGTCTGGCATTGTGTCGCCATCTATGGAGACCAGTGATCCTAGGTATTTAAATTGGGTGGCCTTCTTTAGTGCTTGTCCACTAATTTGAATTGTTTTCCCAGTTTGGAGGCCACATTCCAGATACTCTGTTTTGGGTGTATTCAATTGAAGTCCATTTTCATTGAGTACCTCACTCCACGTCTGAAGCTGTTGCTGGAGGACTGCACATCACTACCCATGTCTGAGAGAAAATAAAGAAAGAAATACAAGTTTGGGACCACAAGTGAGGCCCCTTCTGCACTGCCATATAAATCCAGATCGTCTGCTTTGAACTGGATTAACTGGCAGTGTAGAAGGGGCCTATATTGATGTTCCACCTGAGATCGAACATGACATCTCCACCATAAGAGATAGTAACTTATAGTTTTGCTAAGGACAAGGACATCAGGTTGGATAATGGGGGTCAAGTTTTGGTCAATTTGCAAAGACACTAACAACCACAACAGGGACCCTTCCTATGTCAGATAGTGTGTACGTTTAATCAAGGTTTTATGCCCRATGTTTCATATATAGCAGAAGGTAACACATTTATTACTGAGAAACCACCTCCCTTTACACTTATGTATTCTCTTGAACTTTTATGGGACTTTCTCCCTTCTGAAGGACTCTGAAGAAACTTTTTGGAAACTTTACSTTTTCAAGCCCCATGAACCTTTGGACTTTTTAAAACTTGTTCCTCTCCCAGCCCCATGGGCTCTTAAAGTGGCTTTATGAATTCCTAATGGACTTTGGTTGGAGYGGGGAGGTGGAGATGGGCTCTTTCTCTTTATATGAATGTACCCTTTGATTCCCTCCTATGCCTCCCCTTCCCATCCTATATAATATATCTATATAAATAAAAATGTAATGTTCGTTTGTGATACCATCAGAACTCAAAAACCACTGGGGGAATTGACACCAAATTTGGACACAAGACACCTAACAGTCCAATTTATGTCCTCCACTCAAAAAATGGATTTTGTCATTTGGGAAATGTCATTGCTGGGATTTATAGTTTACCTACAATCAAAGAGCATTCTGAACTCCACCAATGATGGAATTGGGCCAAACTTAGCACACAGGGCTCCCATGACCAACAGAAAAAACTGGAAGGGTTTGGTGGACATTGACCTTGAGTTTGGGAATTATAGTTCACCCACATCCAGAGAGCACTGTGGACTCAAACAATGATGGATCTGGACCAAACTTGGCAAGGAATATTCCATATGCCCAAATATGAACACAGATGGAGTTTAAGGGAAATAGTAATTATATGTAATCTATTAGTATTACTATATTGCCATATTATTATATATTATATTGTATTATTACATTTGGGAGTTGTAGTTGCTGGGATTTATAGTTCACCTATAATCAAAGAGCATTCTGAACTCCAACAATGATGGAATTGAACCAAACATGGCATACAGGACTTCCATGACCAACAGAACGCACTGTAAGGGTTTGGTGGGCATTGGCCTTGAGTTTGGGAGTTGTAGTTCACCTACATCCAGAGAGCACTGTGGACTCAAACAATCTGGACCAAACTTGACACAAAAATTCCATATGCCTAAATATGAACACAGATGGAGTTTGGAGGAAATAGACCTTGACATTTGGGATTTGTAGTTACTGGGATTTATAGTTCACTACAATTAAAGAGCATTCTGAAACCCACAAACGACAGAAATGGGGCAAACTTCCCACATAGAACCCCATGACCAACAGAAAATACTTAAGGCCATCTAGTCCAACTCTCATCACCAGGGCAAGAAAATGTAATCAGAGCCTTCCTGACAAAGAGCCATCCAGTCATAAATATAGATAGATAGATATGATTCTCTCTCACACACACAGATATAGTATCACAGATTTGAAAGTCTATGATATGTTGCATATTCCAGAGTAGGCAAACCACTCTTCACATCAACGCTGACAAAGAAACAACAAGAAATACTGTTTACTCACAAGCATAAAGGAATTACATATATTAGAAACCAACACTTTGTCATTACTTTATTTTCCAGATCACCAGACTGGGCCACAGCAACGTGTGGCAGGGGACAGCTAGTAATGTATAAAATATGGAATGCCACTCTTTGTGACCCCAGTGCCCAAAGCCTTAGGGAAAACTTCACATTCCTCTGAGAAGATAATCCTTTGATTGAAAGGGATCATGACAGAAACTACTTGCACGGACAATATAAAGGAAATATGCCCCAAACCTCGGAGCTGGACCTCTTGGGGCATACATCCGTCTGGTTAATCCCATCAGGACACATGGGATAAACAAGTCCCCAGTTGCTTCATCCTTTGTTTACTTCCACACCGAAACTGCCACACAGATCACACTTATTGTTTCCAAGGCCAGTCGCAGGAAAATCCGGATCCAAGAACAATTGGGACATTAGTCCATTCATCCCATCCTTGTCTTTGCTCGTCCCGCCTCCCCTTCTCCTGATTGGCCAGGACCGAGGCGACAGTGCCTCACTGATTGGTTGAAGCGCGCTAGAGGCAACCAAGTCTCCTTCCAGCTGTTAAGCGCGTCAGCCAATCAGTGCCAAGCTGGCTGATGGATGGGCGTCAAATTTGAAATCTACAGCTCTGTATTTTCTATAAAATGGCACAACTTTGTACTGAATGTATGCTTGCCTGACGAAATATCGCGGCTTTGCATCCTTTCCAGCTGGATCGCAATAAAGCAACTTGGTGGCGTTTTCTTCAACTTTGGTAAGATTTATTTGGGAAATCAGGGAAATTCCATATTGCTTCTTTTCTGCTCATCAAAGTAGCGGGCCCTGTGGTCCCTTTGTGAGGAAAAAGTAGGTTATAAATAAAGATTTATAATAATAATAATAATTATTATTATATTTAATTTTGTTGTAATGTTTGCATATTTGCATATTTTAAATTGTATGTTCAGCTTCCTAAATTCCATTAAAAAAAAAGAAAATAAGGAAAGAGATTTGCAAAGTTAGTCATATTTCATTTTAATATAGTGAAAATACTTGGTTCACCCAAAATTATCTATTTATATCTTCCTTCATCTCTCCATACTGAGATTCAAAGCGGCTCACAATTAAAAACATTGCAACTTAAAATATACAAATATACAATAACAAAACAGTATATCATTATACATTATTATATATTATCAGTAGTAATTATATGTAATCTATTAGTATTACTATATTGCCATATTATTATATATTGTATTATTATTATTATTATTAGTAGTAGTAGTAGTAGTATTAGATTATATTATCAAAATTGTTTGTATCTATAGAAATAAAATTGTAATGTTCATTTGTGGGATTAACATAACTTGAAAACCACTGGACGAATTGACACCAAATTTGGACATAAGACACCTATCAGGCCAACAAGTGACCATCACTCATAAAAACACTGAAAAATAACAGCAGAAGAGACTTAAAAAGCCACATATATATCCTTACAATGCATGCACAAAACCACATATACACACACACACATATATATACACACACAAAACACATACATACAGACTGGGCCACAGCAACGCGTGGCAGGGGACGGCTAGTATACAATATATTATTATTAGAATAGCACAATATTAGTATTATATATTGCTATATTGTACTATACCACTATATTGCAATATTATTAGTAATATTACATGTAATATATAATATACAATTATATTCTTCTTTATTATACTAGCCGTCCCCTGCCAAGCGTTGCTGTGGCCCAGTCTGGTGATCTGGAAAATGAAGTAATGGTTTCTAATATATGCAATTCCTTTATGCTTGTGTTTAATCAATATTCCTTGTTGTTTCTATGTCAGTGTTGATGTGGAGATTGTCTGGTTTGCTGACTCTGGAACATGTGATATATAATTGTCCTTCTTAAGGGGTCCCTTTCAAATCTATGATACTATATCTACACTTGATCTTAGCCAAAAGGCCGAGAAGCCTTGGGAACTGCGATTCCCTTCCTTGGGCACCTGTGCCCCATTCTATACTGTGCTGGTCAAAGACCGTAATAAATCATTGATTGATACTACATCTGTGTGTGTGTGAATCATATCTATCTATCTATCTATCTATCTATCTATCTATATCTATCTATCTATCTATCTCTATGGCTGGATGGCTCTTTGTCAGGAGGACTGTGATTACGTTTTCTTGCCCTGATGAAGGGAGTTGGGTTGGATGGCCTTAAGTATTTTCTGTTGGTCATGGGGGTTCTGTGTGGGAAGTTTGCCCCGATTCTGTCGTTCGTGGGGTTCAGAACGCTCTTTGATTGTAGGTGAACTGTGAATCCCAGTGACTACAACTCCCAAATGTCTATTTCCCCTAAACTCCATCTGTGTTCATATTTGGGCGTATTGAGTGCTTGTGCCAAGTTTGGTCCAGATCCATCATTGTTTTGACTCTACAGTGCTCTCTGGATGTAGGTGAACTACAACTCCCAAACTGAAGATCAATGCCCACCAAACCCTTCTAGTGTTGTCTGTTGGTCATGGAAGTCCTGTATGCCACGTTTGGTTCAATGCTATAATTGGTTGTCTTCAGAATGCTCTTTGATTGTAGGTGAACTATAAATCCCAACAACTACAACTCCCAAATGACAAAATCAAAAAAAAAAATTGAGTGAAGGACATACATTGGGTTGTTAGCTGTATGCTGTCCAAATTTGGTGTCAATTGGCCCACTGGTTTTTGAGTTCTGTCAATCCCACAAATAAACTTTACATTTTTATTTATATAGATATTAGTATTATATAATACATTGAACTATATCATAAGCATGCTCCAAAATGTGTTGACCAGTGTTTGAAAATGTGGATTATATGGCAGTGTGAAAGGGGCCTGAGAAATCCTCCTTGCTAAAATTCCAGTCATGTTCTCCATGGCCGACGTCACTTTCTCTCAGGAGGAGGAGAGAGGGCGAAAGAGTCCCGGAAGTGCGGTCCTGCGTTGCGATTCTACCTTTTCCTGCCTCTTTGGCCTCCGCCGGCCAGGCCTGTCAGGAGCGCCTCTGCAGGGCTGTTCTCTTCTCTCGGCCTCTCCTGCCCCGCGGGCCTTCTCGCTTGGGGCGCTTCGGGTGAGTGTGGGGGGCGGCCCGCGTGGGGCGAGGAAGAGATACTGGAGGAGGAGGGCGAGGAGGAGGTGGCCCCGAGGGTCCCCGCAAACCGCGCGGCCCAGCAAGCCGGGCAGCCTCTTCCTGGGTTGCCGTCGAGGGACAGCGCCAGCCCAAAGGAAGAGCCCTCTGGACTGAGGTGAGCGGGACCGGAAGTGTGCCGGGAAAAGGGGGGGGGGGTCTGGCTTGGCCGCCATTTTGTCCTCCTCCTGGGCGGGGGGGGGGGGGGTCCCCAATGCGGGATTCTTATGGGCTCTTTCATGCAACCATATAACCCAGGCCCCTTCCACACATCTGTAGAAAATCCACATTGAACAGCATGGTAGTGTTTTTGTTGACTACTAGCCGTCCCCTGCCACGCGTTGCTGTGGGCCAGTCTAGTGATCTGGAAAATAAAGTAATGAGAAAGTGTTGGTTTCTAATATATGTAATTCCTTTATGCTTGTGGGTAAACAGTATTTCTTGTTGTTTCTTTGTCAGTGTTGATGTGGAGAGTGTCTGGATTGCCTACTCTGGAATATGCAACATATCATAGACCTTCTTTAGGGGTCCTTTTCAAATCTATGATACTATATCTGTTTGTGTAAAGATAATCATATCTATCTATCTATATTTATGACTGGATGGCTCTTTGTCAGGAGGGCTCTGATTACATTTTCTTGCCCTGGTGAAGAGAGTTGGACTGGATGGCCTTAAGTATTTTCTGTTGGTCATGGGGGTTCTGTGTGGGAAGTTTGCCCCATTTCTGTCGTTTGTGGGTTTCAGAATGCTCTTTAATTGTAGTGAACTATAAATCCCAGTGACTACAACTCCCAAATGTCAAGGTCTATTTCCACTTAATTGTGTTGCTGGGATTTATAGTTCACCTACAATCAAAGAGCATTCTGAACTCCCATCAATGATGGAATAGATCCAAACTTGGCACACAGAACTCCCATGACCAACAGAAAATACTGGAAGGGTTTGGTGGGCATTGACCTTGAGTTTGGGAGTTGTAGTTCACCTATATCCAGAGAGCAGTGTGGACTCAAACAATGATGGATCTGGACCAAACTTGGCACAAGCACTCAATATGCCCAAATATGTACACTGATGGCGCTTGGGGGAAATAGATGTTGACATTTGGGAGTTGTAGTCACTAGGATTCACAGTTCACCTACAATCAAAGAACATTCTGAACCCCACGAATTGCAGAATCGGGGCTAACTTCCCACACAGAACCCCCATGACCAACAGAAAATACTTAGGACCATACAATCCAACTCCATCAGGGCAAGAAAACATAATCAAAGTCCTCCTGACAAAGAGCCATCCAGCCATAGATATAGATAGATAGATAGAGAGTTGTAGTTGCTGGGATTTATACTATCATGCTATTTGATTTATACAATCAAATAGCATGATAGAATTGAACCAACCGGGGCATACAGGACTCCCATGACCAACAGAAAATACTGGACGGGTTTGGTGGGCATTGGCCTTGAGTTTGGGAGTTGTAGTTCACCTACATCAAGAGAGCGCTGTGGACTCAAACAATGATGGATCTGGACCAAACTTGGCAAAAATATTCCATATACCCAAAAATGAACATGGTGGAGTTTGGGGAAAATAGACCTTGACATTTGGGAGTTGTAGTTGCTGGGATTATAGTTCACCTACAATCAAAGAGCATTCTGAACTCCACAATGATGGGTTTGGTGGGCATTGACCTTGAGTTTGGTGGGCATTGACCTTGAGTTTGGGAGTTGTAGTTCACCTACATCCAGAGAGCACTGTGGACTCAAACAATGATGGATCTGGACCAAACTTGGCATAAATATTCCATATGCCCAAATATGAACATGGAGTTTGGGGGAAATAGACGTTGACCTTTGGGAGTTGTAGTTACTGGGATTTATAGTTCACCTACAGTCAAAGAGCATTTTGAACCCTAAGAACAATAGAATTGGGCAACTTCCCACACAGAACCCCCATGACCAACAGAAAATACTTAAGGCCATCCAGTCCAACTCCCTTCACCAGGGCAAGAAAACTTAATCAAAGCCCTCCTGACAAAGAGCCATCCAGCCATAGATACAGATAGATATATATGATTCACACACACACACACAGAGATAGTATCCTAGATTTGAAAGGGAGCCCTAAAGAAGGACAATGATATGTTGCATGTTCCAGACACTAGGCAAACCAGACAACTCTCCACATCAACACTGACAAAGAAACAACAAGAAATACTGTTTACCCACAACCAGAAAGACATTACATAGATTAGAAACTCAGATCACCAGACTGAGCCACAGTAACGCGTGGCAGGGGATGGCTAGTTATTAATATATTTTTATCCCGCTTTTCTCCCATGGGTGGGAATCAAAGCAGCGTACAATGACTGAAAACGACAACATTCCCTAACTTAAAAGAACAACAAAAAATATAAGCAAAGTAAACATAAGTACACACTACACACACTAAATTTAATAAATTAAAAAATTAAAACATACCATTATACCATTAAAAAATTCCCTGACCCTCAGGCCATTAAAGTTATCCTTTAAAAGAGTTATTTTAAGATCTTAAAAACCCCATTTCCTTTAGGCCGAGTTAAAATATTGCCAGACTGACATAACATTCCAAAAATATACAATTATCCATGTCTATTTGGCCATTGTCTATTGTTGATCTTCAGGAAAGGCCAGGTTCCATAAAATGGTTTTAACTTGAGAGCAGAAGGCCAGCAAGTGGGGGGGGGGGTTGCACCTCTCTAGGAACCACGGGGCCACTACTGAAAAGGCCCTCTCTCTTGCTCCCTCCAGCTGCACTTGTAACGGCAGTGAGACAGAGAAGGGCCTCACCTGATGATCTCAGGGCTTTTGTGGACTCATAGGAGGAGATGCAGTCCCTCAAGTAGGCTGTATGGTTTTGTCACCTTGTCTGTGACGAGGGAAAGGGTCTTCTTGGTGGCGGCCCCAGGTTCTGGAACACCCTCCCCAAGGAAGCATGACTGGTTCAGGAAGGAACTGAAAACACATCTGTGGAGAAAGATTTTTGGAAACAACTAACCATAATATTAACTGTTGGAGTTTGAATAGAATTTTAATTGAATCTAGAGCTCAAACTAGCAAGAGCAGGTCACATGATGTTTACTCATATTAATGTTTGTATGTTTTATATCAGGCATGGGAAAACTAAGGCTTGGGGGCCAGATGCGGCCCCCTGGGCACCTACCTCAAACCCTCACCATTTTCCCTGGCCTGCCGCATCCTTATGTAGAAAGGACGGGGGAGGAAGACCTCAGCAGCTGAGAGTGCTGTCAGCCACCGCATGTCTTGCCCTCCTCCTGGCATAAAGATGGTGTGAGTGGCCCTGTCCTTACGCCGAGAGAATGGCCCGAATAAGACACACAGCGGCTGTCATCTGCCCCACCCTCCTCCCAGCATAATGCCAAGAGGACAGTCCGAGGAGGATCGGGGCAGTCACCATGTGTATCTCATTTTCCTCCCAGCATAAGGACAGTGCAAGCAGCCCCATCTTTAGGAAACGCACAATTAAACCACCCCTGAAAAATGGCCATCAGCCTCTGCTTCAAAACCTCTAGAGAAGGAATAGCCACCATACTTTCAAGGAAACATATTCCATTGTCAAACAGCTCTTACCTTCAGGCTATATGTATAAGAGATGTGGGCCAAAGGATTTTCCATTTAGATTCAGCTCTTGTTATATCACATTCAATCGTAGGAAAATCCACTGAAACATTAAGAGCTCTTTGACAGTGGAATATGCCGCCACTTCAGAGTCTGGTGGAGTCACTTTTTTTAAAGCTGAGGTTGGGTGGCCATCTGTCAGGAGTTCTTTGAATGTGATTCACTGAAGATGCCACCATCTAGAATAATGTTTCCTTTCCATTTTCAGTGTTTTTCTTCATTTCTCTTTTTCAACCTTTTATGCTCATCTCTGCCCTTCGCCAAATGTAATCTTTCTTCATCGAAAAAAATCCTCATGACCTGGATAATCATACTTACATTAGCTTAGATTTACATTTCTCTGCTCTATCACAAGGCATTATAAAGTGTAGTAGTACTGTTTCACAAGCAGGGCCAGATTTGCATGAAGTAGCTTTACCTGCGGATGCTGTGTGTGCCATTCAGCTTATCCCCCGGCTGTTCACATGTACCTCACAAATACCTGGGAGGAGACAGGTTCACATGTATTTGTACAAACTGTCAATGTGCACTATGAAGGTATTATATCAAGAGGGAAGAACTGTTAGACTCCTTTGCCAGCTTGAGGAGTCATGAGTGTATCTGTCCTTCTTGAAATGTCTCTTGAAATAAGATCGCATAATTTCGTTTCCAACATCCATGTGTTTGTTTTGCTGTCTGTGTCCCTGTTCTGAAAATTTCACCTCACTTTCTGTCCTTTTGATAATTGAATTTTGAAAAAATGGCTTGTAGAAATAAATAAATAAATAAATACATAAATAAATAAATAAATAAATAAATAAATAGAAACAAGCATTGATGATAAACTTCAGTAGAGACACATGAAAACTCTTTCAAGAGTGAATTTCTCTTCCTAGGGGTAGGTTTCTCTCACTTCCTGTTGTCTCACTGTAAGTTGTTTTTAAGCTGAATTTTTGTAACTTGGGGATTACCTGTATACTGTGATCTTAAAACATGGGATTCAGGGGGAATGTGCAGGTGCATACTTCTTTCCCCATAGGGGTGACAATGCAAATGACAAAAAGTTAATTCATTTGATTTGATTCAAGACTACCTAGTTATTATTGTTATCAAGGAAGTATATTTAAGACCAGACATCTATGCCAGGAGTTGGTCCATTGCAAAATGCTGTACTATCCCAGACTTGCTCTGAGTATGATCGGTCCAGTTCGTCTTATACCAGGTGATTTACCTTGCCAAACACAGAGTAAAAAAGTTTAAATTTTATCAGCTCCTAAAATATTTTCTTGATCTTTTCTTTCTTTTTTGTCAGGGCATCTTTAAAATTTCGTGCCTGTGGAGTAGTATTACCAAGTCTAGATTCCATGTCTTTCCTTGTAAGTAAACCAGAACGAATTAGGGTGAGTGTCAAAACTTTCAAGACTTCTTAACAAGCATTTTCTTCATATCCTTTCTATTTCAGGCATGTCATTGATGAATGAAATAGAGCTTTGTTGACTTACACATTTTGTTTTCAGAAAGCATCCAAAAAATTTCAATGACTCTTTGAAAAGAACTATGTATTAGAGTAATTTTTCTCATTTGAATGGCATTATGAAAAAATGCTTTAAGGTGGTCATTGACTTTTTCTAGATGTCATAAAAAACAATAATGTATTGTTATGAGCTTATATGCTTAGAATGAACTGTTCAACAAATTTGACTTCTGTTTTTGATCAGTGACAGCCTTTTATTATGCCTGAACCTAACAAAGCTTAATTGTTGTTTGTTGAAATGAGCCATCTTCAGAAAATAGATTAGGAAGTTGTCTTGTATGAACTGATTATAGTCAAAATAGTCATAATGTAGAATTTGGATGACATCCTAAATTACAAATAATCAGAAAGTGAAATGTCTGATTCCACAACAGTGATTTGAAGGAAAGGAGGAAAAACAAAGGGAGTATAGGGAAACACTAGGTTCATTTCTGGCATGGTTTATTTTGACTCCAACTGCATGTCACTCTTATTCCAATTTTTACAGAAGGCAATGGAAATTTGCTTACATTTTCACTTCAAAACGAGACTACAGGTCAGGTTTTCCAAACTGACTTCCAGTTCTCTCTGTCTCCTTGACCTATGGCATTTGAGGCTCAAACTCTTAAAACTTTTTTAAAGCTTTCAATTTTTAAAAAAAATCTTGATAACTTGTATGGTGCAGCAAAATAATTACTATTAGTGAGAGTTTACGAAGTTTTTAATCAAGTGATGCAAGTTTTCAGAAATTTCTAAAATTGGGATTATTAATAGTTTTTTAGGCGTTAGTTACTTTTATTATTGTATTGCTTTAAATTGTGTAGCTTATTTTCATGCCTTTGTGAGATCTTTGATCCGGGAAAGAATATAATAATGTTTAATAAATATAAATACTATTTCTAAGAACATTTTCCACTGCATTTATATTATTAAAAGGTAATTTAGTTTATATGTTGGGCATATGTTTAACAATGTTGAACTTACTATGAGGTAAAAGGTTTCTTTAGACAAATTCAAAGCTTTACTGGAAATTATTTTTATTGGAACATTATTTAGTTTATTTGAAGTAGGTGAAAATACCAAAAACTGTTGATATTCTATCATGCATGAAAAAATGCTGTAGGTTTAAATGTGTTTCTTAGGGTGCTTCTATACACTGTAGAAATAATACAGTTTGACATAATTGGAACTGGACACACTTTAACAGTTATAATTCAAGGCAATGGAATCTTGTGAGTTGTAGTTTGCAAGGTCCTTAACATTGTCTGCCAAATAGTATTGGTGCTTCACCAAACTATAAATCCCATGATTCCCTGGCATTGAGCTATGACAATTAAAGTGTCTTCATTTGTATAGCTTGTCCTTCATTTTAGAAAGTTTTAATAATTAATATATGAAATAATAAATTTCTGAAAGAGGGGAAGTTTCACCTTGTGTCTCTAGTTCTGTTTATTGCCATTTCTGCTGCAGACATCTTGTTTTATTTTGTTTTAATAGTTGCAAATAAGGTTCTTCCAAGTTAACATAAAATTGTATTGCCAATACAGCTAAATGTACAAAACATTCAAACTCATGAAAAAGAACAGAAAGTTCTAGATTTTCTTCCTGTTCTTCCTGTGTTTATTTTGGAAATGCGTACATTTTTGTTTATCCCAGAATGTCAGCTCTAGGTATAATCAAATACTGTTTATACTGCATTCCTCACTGCTTTATTTTAACCCAATATAAACTTTATGTGCAGAGCATGAATAGCTTTTACACATACGGTTTAAAAATCTAAGGATATTCAGGCATTATAATAGATGATACCAGACATTGGCTAATATTATGGCAGAATTATCTTTCAAGGACTTACATAGGGTTTTTCTTTGATTGACATAGTTTGTAACATCTCTATATTTACTATAACTTACGTAGTATATATGTAAGTTACGTAGTATATACCTGGATAAATAATAATAATAATGTCACATAATTTTGAGTTTTCTTTTCTAGAGATGGATGTCCGAGAAGTTCATTTTTGAGGGCTTGAGAGAATTGGAATTATTTGGAGGTAAGTGTTTAAACTAGATTAGAAATATTCTTTACTCTGACTCCATATTTTATATTTTTCTGTTTTGTGAAGGTGAAAAGCGCAAAGATTGCAGTCCACAAACTTTTTAGTATAGGTCTAACGATAGATTTAATTGGTCTGCTTTTTAGATTCTGCAAGAATGATTAGCATTCCACAGACATTTCACACAAATGAAGAGTGTTTATAATCTGTGCATTTGTTCTTTAAGGTTACAGAATCTCTTCTAAAACCTAAAAGCCCCTTCCACAAACATTGGTCTCTGGCAACAGAGCAATTCTGTTGGATTTTGCCCCTAAACTGTGATTTTCAAATGTTAATGATGAAAGCCTGGGAAGGAACTGTCTACAATAGAGGAGGAGGAGGCACAATTTTTTCCGAATTGAGAATGTTGTGCCAAGGAAATGGTCACAAACATTTGTGGCTGTTTGCTTTTCATATCATTGAATCATTTGTTTCTAAGATGTTGTGTGACTTTATTATGCATTATTGTGTTTTCCTTTGGGAGTCCAGTTGCTGAATTATTCTTAGTCACTATATTTATTTATAATTTACTCCAGCAAAACTATCTGTAACAAAATCTAAATCATAAAATGCACATACTCAGATTCTCAAAAGGTTTAAGCTGCATTAAGATCACTCTGACCAAAAAGTCATGAGTTCGAAGCCAGCCCGGGTTGGAGTGGGCTTCCAACCAATTGTGTAGCCTGTTGTCGACCTTTGCAACCCGAAAGACAGTTGCATCTGTCAAGTAGGAAAATTAGGTACCACCTTGTGTGGGGAGGCTAAATTAACTAATTTATGAGGCCATAAAAAAGACTCTAGCAAAGCACTCCAACAAAAACATGTGGGGAATGCGGAAGTAATCATTCTACATAATTAAACTTTAAATAATAAGTAGTAAGCCAATTAATTTAAAATATTCTGGAAAACTCAGAAATAATAAGAAAATATTCAAATAATTTAATATCAATACAATTCCTATTTATGATATGAATTGACTCTTAGAACATGCATTATTATATAATAAATATTCCAAATCAACAAATAGTAATACTGTATGTCCTTGATTTTAATACGCACTTATATTTTTCCCCATATAAACATCTCTAAAAATGCGGAGCATCTTAGAATCACAGGACCTTTCTTTCTTTCTGTTGGTGGTACTGAAATGAGTATATATCATACTATCAATGTGTCTTAGAACTGAAGAAATATGGTAGATCAGTTCCACCAGATATTCAGTGTTAAATCTAGTCTACCCCCAAGTTCTTTAGTTTAAAAAATCTTCAAAAAACCATATAAACAACCTTTACTGTCCTTCAGACATATCTCTTAAAAGCCTCTAAGCTTCTGCATGGATTCGAATTTAATTGCCATCACAGAAAACGAGTTTAGGGAGTCAATCAAAGGTCTCCAGAGCATTGTTGGTGAGTCTGTCCCACACCTCTGAGTTTTAAATGTAACGCACTTATCTCCTATATCATTTTGACACTTTTGTGTGTTTTAAGCTCTATTTCCTCTTTTCTGCTCTTATTTCTTTTTTCTTGTCTCTGTATACACGGAAAAAGTGTAGACAACCAGATCAGTTGCCCTCATGAATGCTAAGTTTGTGCTGACTTGGGCTAGAACTTAGTATATGTTACAAGTTTATTGTTATATATTATTACTTTTCTCCCAGTGTTTTTATAACTGCTTCAGTAAGTTTCTCTCAAACCCTGTAGCAATATAAAAATGTAGTTATAAAAGGCAGATTCAAAAAAGCTTGCAAGCACAAAACTAGAAAAATTGTCATAGAATTTCTTTATGTCTTCATCTTTGCTTCTCTTCTATCTTTCCTATGACTGGTCTGTGATTATGGGGTATTTGTTGGTGTTTGAAGACCACAGGTAGAGGTCTCAAACCATATTTCCACTCAAAAGTGATTTAGACTGGATATTCTCAAGTGCTGGTATGCTTTCTGTGAAAAGGTGAACGTAATTTGAATTTTGCCTAGTTTCTGAGCTCTGTGGCCAGACAAAGCCAAGTATATACTCTAAAGTTTTGAAAAAAATATGACTTTTGTTCAGCTGCCTATATGGCAGCAGTATGGGACTGGATATTCTTTTCAAGTAAATACCACTTGTTAATAATCTTATTTTAATTTTATTCTTAACTGGTACATGTTTAATAAGAAAACACAGTTGAATGATTGATTTTTTTACTCCAGAGCAGCCTCTGGGTGACTCTCGGAGAAAAGTAAGTGATTTTTGTAGGCTGTGGTGCTGTGGCCTATTGCATGAGAATTTGTTCTATTCCTTGTGGACATCCTGACTTCTTTTCCATTTTATCTTATTTATACATCAAATGTTTTCCGCTTTACATATGTGGGAACAAGGTTTCACCCTGGAAACAAGGTTTTGGTGTGTGGCATATGTATTTGTTTTTAGTTATAAATCTTGGTTTTTCAAACCGCTCTTCCCAGTCCTAGTATAATAAAATTCCATGACTGTTGATTTATCTCTTTTAATATTTTAATGGGCAAAATATCTATTTAAGAGCTGGAATTTAAAATCAACACAGTAAGATAGAAATGCTCCCACATTTTCTTAGACAAAAAAAAAAAAATCTAGGGTAGGAATGACCTGCCAGATTTAACTTGAAACTATTTTATCATAGTTTTGGCCAGAACCGAAAGATATAGATGCCTTTTCAAGCTATTGAGACTTAGGAATAATGTTATTCCATCAATGTATGAAATGGCAAACAGCACAGGCCTGTGTATGTCTGTTCAGTAATAAATCCATTTGAGATCAGTGTGGTTTATTGAAGATTGCTTGAATATGCAGACATTTGCCCCAATGAAAGTCGTGAAGAACTAAATGAGATTTATCTCTGAGGAGACATACTTCTCAAACTTTTAGCAGCCTTCACTATGCCATTAGTTGAGATACTATGTTGCTATAGAATATTCATAAATATTCTGTTTTTAAAAGGCATAAAACATTGTCAGTTACAGCCTTGTCAAGTTCTTCGAGGGAAATGAAGTCTCAGTATTGTTGGGAGAAGGCAGGATAGTGGGAGCTGTTTGAACATGAAGGAAAGTTGAGAGTTGTAACCACAGCCCAGAAAATAAGCATATTATAGCCTGGAATAATAAATTGTGGCAAGTTCTTGGTGGTATGGGCATACCAAATCACCTTGTTTGTCTCCTGAGGAATCTGTATAAGGACCAAGTAGTAACAGTAAGAACTGACCATGGAACAACAGACTGGTTCAAGATTGGGAAAGGCGTACAGCAGGGCTGTATACTCTCACCCAACCCTTTCAACTTGTATGCAGAACATATGTGATGTGCGGGGCTGGACAAATGCGAGACTGGGGTAAAAATTGCTGGAAGAAACATTAACAACCTTAGATATGCAGATGATACCACCTTGATGGCCGAAAGCGAGGAGGAGCCGAGGAGCCTTCTAATCAAGGTGAAAGAAGAAAGTACAAAAGCTGGGTTGAAGCTAAACATAAAAAAAAAACAAAGATTATGGCAACAAGAATGACTGACAACTGGGAAGTAGAGGGAGAAAACGTGGAGAGAGTGACAGACTTTGTATTTGTAGGTACAAAGATTACTGCAGACGCAGACTGCAGCCAGGAAATCAGGAGACGCTTACTTCTTGAGAGGAGAGCAATGTGATAAAATAGTGATAAAATAGTGAAGAGTAGAGACATCACACTGGCAACGAAGATCCACATAGTCAAAGCMATGGTATTCCCCATAGTCACCTACGGATGTGAGTGCTGGACYTTAGGGAAGGCTGAGCGAAGGAAGATAGATGCTTTTGAACTATGGTGCTGGAGGAAAGTTCTGAGAGTGCCTTGGACTGCAAGAAGAKCCAACTTGCCCATACTTCAGGAAATAAAACACCCGCCTGCTCATTGGAGGGAAGGATAGTAGAGGCCAAGATGAAGTCCTTTGGCCACATCATGAGGAGACAGGAAAGCTTGGAGAAGACAATTATGCTGGGGAAAATGGAAGAAAAAAGGAAGAAGGGCCGACCAAGGGCAAGATGGATGGATGGCATCCTTGAAGTGACTGGATTGATCTTGAAGGAGCTGRGCTCTGGCGTGGGCTGGTCYATGAGGTCATGAAGAGTCAGAAACGACTGAACGAATGAACAACAAAAGCCTGGAATAGCTGAAAAAAAGAAGCAGATCRGGCAGTGAAATGAGAGAAAGAATAATTGTCAATAGGAAACCCAGGTTTGAAAGGAAAGGGCAGAATTCATAAGAAGCTGAGGCAAAGAAAGGCCATCAAGAAAGGAAGGATGGGGCAATGCATTTCAAAAGGCCTGGCAATGAAAGCTGTTCTGTCCTCTTTATAGGGGGAAAAAGAAACAAGAGAAGAGTTTGGCAGGCTTAAGCAGTTAAATGGAAAGAAAGCAGGGCAGCCTTTGTAGCGAAAGTAAACAAAATGGAATAGCCACTGAAATGAAAAGGAGATTTTGAACACTAGGAAGGCTTGGAGCCAGAGAAAGTGGAGCTGGCGAAATTCCTCACATAAAGTCTAGGGGAAAAGGGGGCTATGGGTATGAAGGAAAAGGGAGAATTTGTGGAATGAGGCTGGAGTGGGTAGATCAATCGTGGGTTGCTAATTTTACAGAAATTCTTTTTCCAACCCAGGCTCTCTTTTTCCATTGCACTGGTAACAGTGCAATCTAATTAGTTTTTTCCATGCAAATGTTATTAAACATGTTTCAAAAGAGCCAACTATTCCGAGGCTAGTATATATTATAAAACAGTATGTTTGGAATAAGAAATATGGGCCTTTCTTGCTGTTTTCTAAATTTTTTGCCATTTACACCAAAAGAGATCCTGTGTTGAAACCCTTGGCAGCAGCTGTATTTGTTTTTCTTGGAGGGGCTATTTCTGTGCTGTACTTCACAAGAGGCATTTTAATTTGAGCATTTTACATTTTTAAAAAAATATCAAGACTTTAGTACAGTTCTGCATGGATAGAATTTTCCAAGTGGTTATTTCTGCGTGGAGTTGTGGAAAATAACTAATGCTGTTTTGGAAGGTTGGGGTTGTTAGCTTACTCGGAACAAAATGTGCTTATATGTCAAAATAACAGACTTGTGGGGTTTTTTTGCAGTGTGAACCTTTAGAGCGTCTTTATTATTTTACAACAACCTATCTTTCCAAAGAGTTTCAGGCTGCAGTTGTATCAATGTTTACCTGAAAGTAAGTCCATTTAAAGGACTTATTTTGGAGTAAGCATCTTTGAGATTATATTGTAAACAGATGGCTGCCTTCGTTTCAAAGAATATTTTCCGCTTATTTTTCTAGTATTAGAGTTATGTTTGTTTGTTTATTTAAAACATTTATATTCCGCCCTTCTCACCCCGAAGGGGACTCAGGGCGGAGCACAGCATATACACGGCAAACATTCAATGCCGGGACACAAATTCACATACATATACATTAAGAAACATTTATCAAAATATTAAAATACACCATTTAAAACTGTCCTTGTTATTCGCGTCAAATCTAAATGGCATGGTCATCTTTCCTATTGCTTTATTGCCCTGTCCTTAAAGCTTGGTCCCACAGCCAAGTTTTTACCATCCTTCTAAAGGACAGGAGGGAGGGGGCCGACCTGATCTCACCAGGAAGGGAATTCCATAGCAGGGGAGCAATCGCCAAGAAGGCCCTGTCTCTGTGACAATGGCAGGACGGAAAACAGGGCCTCCCCGGAAGATCTTAATCTCTGCGATGGTTGATAGGGGGAGATGTGTTCGGACAGGTAATTTGGGCCAGGGCTGTTTAGAGCTTTATATGCCAAAGCCAGCACTTTGAATTGTGCCCGGTAACAAACAGGCAGCCAGTGGAGCTGATGTAACATGGGATTTGTATGCTCCCAGTATCCCGCCCCAGTTATTAACTTGGCTGCCTCTTGTTGGACTATTTGAAGCTTCCGAGCAGTCTTCAAAGGCAACCCCAAGTAGAGTACATTGCAATAGATGTAACGAGAGAATGGACCACCATGGCCAAGTCAGACTTCCCAAGGTACGGGCGCAGCTGGCACACAAGTTTTAATTGTGCGAACGCTCCCATGGCCACCACTGCAACCTGGGATTCCAGGCTCAGTGATGAATCCAGGAGAACTCCCAAGCTGCGAACCTGTGCCTTCAAGGGGAGTGTAACCCCATCCAGCACAGGTTGCGACCCTATACCCTGTTGTTTAAATATACACACATATAGTTATTCATTTGTAAGGCCCATTCAGTGTGTGATGTGCTTTGTAGGCAAAGCAAAGACAACAAAGAGAAAAGGGTAGGAAGCATGCTGTTTATAAAGCTTTCAAAGGAAGTGTAGTGAGCATTACACATTTGGGAGAGTAATATTAGGGATATAACAACCCCTGAGTCATCAAGTCCACAGCTGTCTGTTGGAAGTAGATTTCTTTGCTTCTGTTTCCTGGGATCACTTTAGCTAAATGCTGAATCTGAAATATTGAGGGTTATCCTGTCTCTTTGGAAAATGCACAGAAATTTGGGACTTGTTCAAGTAAATTTTCTTACAATCCCAGAATCCCCCATCCGGCAAAGAAACCATTTCTGGGATCTAATAGATTAAAATGATAACTTTACAAGTTCTAGCCAAACCTAGATTTCAAGTTTGACATTTGGTATTTGAGATTTGAACATTTGTTGAGTTTTCAGTATTACAAAAGTAACTAACAAAATGTTATAGGAGTAAAATACAACCCTGCTCATGTAAAACAGTAAGGAAACTGCAGGGACTGTGCCTGATGCACGTTGCGTGCTTAGTCCCATTTGAGCAGGAGCAGCTGAACTGTGTCGGTTGAACTTGGCAGGGCTTGTTTCTATGGTTTGTTTGTCTGGCTCCCTAAGGAACCATAGAAACAAGTCAGGAATTCTTATATATTGAGGGACAGTCAAGGCAGAGTCCAAACTGCTGCTTTTTTCAGATGATGCCTGGGCAAATTGCAGCTGCATATTGCATGTACGCAGTTGATCAGTAAGTACAAGGAATGTTTCCCTGGTTTATCATTATGTACAAATGCAGCCAAATAATCTAGATACAAACTGGAGTGAGAAAACTTGTATAGCTTGGCAAATCCACTCAGTAAAAACAACTAAAATCCGTGGAACTTATTTTTGATAAGTGCATATTGGATTGCAACCTTAGTGACAATTGTCTCTGAGAGAAGGACAGGCCTAATAAAGCATTTGGCAGCTGTTTGATAGCTTTCCATATATAATATTTGAGTAAAAACTCCTGTCAATGAAATTATTTTTCTGAAAGTTTATGTAAATAGTAATACATCCTGCAATTTGAAATACATAGAAAAGCTTCTCTTTTTATTCCTAGTAGCCTTCTGGATGTCATTTGTTTTCTTTTCTTTTCCAGACCAATGAAGCAAGCTCAGAATCAATAGCATCTTTCCCAAAAAGGGACAACATGAGCAGTTATCTGCCTGATAATAACTGCTATGAGCAATTGACTACAATAGGTAATGTTTTGATGGGATCGAGGGATATTCTGGCTGTTTCCCTTTGTAAAGTACTGATATCCTGGGTTTTTTATTACCATATTTCCGGCATATAAGACGACTGGGCGTATAAGACAACCCCAACTTTTCAAGTTAAAATATAGAGTTTGGGATATACTCGCCATATAAGACTACCCCTCTTCCAACACACACCAAATAAAATTTTTAAAAGCATCAGATTTGATTTCAATATGGTAATTTTCCTATTACTGTACCTCCTTCTCTGCCTCTCAGATCTCGCACATGCGCACATGCACCACTTCATTGCAGTCTTCAGGAGTGAGATCTGAGAGGCAGAGAAGGAGGTAGGGTAATAGGATACAAGGGCAGGCCGGACAGGTAATAGAGTTGTGTTTTTCTGGGCCCAGAGACACTCTATCTCTTTTTTCCATACTCCGGGCACCCTGGACGCCTGCAGCTTGCAACGCCCTTCACTTACACCTTCCCGGTGAGGCGCCCCTTCACCTCACCATCGGGACCGCATTAAGTCCACGAATCCTGATGAATGGATTTTCTTCTACCGTACTTGTACAGCGTTGCCTTTAATGCTTTCATACAGTCGCTGCATATGGCAGGGACACGGCCATTGCCATTTTTGAGCTCCCCCCACCATATGCAGCAACCACAGATTCTTCAATCCGATTGGAAGTTTCAGCACCCGCTCTATAAGACGACTCCTGTGTATAAGACTACTACCGCGTATAAGACTATTCCCGTGTATAAGACTACTCCCACGTATAAGATGACCCCTGACTTTTGAGAAGATTTTCTTGGGTTAAAAAGTACTCTTATATACCAGAATATACGGTAACTATGGTACCTTGTTTTCTGAATTGATTGTCTTTTGTTGATATTCTGTTAGTTTTTTTAATGGCAATGAGATTAAGGGTTTTATACACATTTTACGTAAAGGAGGAAGAAGTGTGACGAACAAATATGAGAAAGTTATAAATGTTTTATTTTTTTAATTGCTTTATAATAGTTATTTAAAACAGCAAAAATGGGTAAGCATAAAATAAATGAACAACATAATAATATAAAAGGAAGTGAACTAAAATATAACTTTAAAAACTTGAATGAAGAGGGGTCTTCTATAATGTCCATGTTAATTAAAATTCTGAAATTAATAATAGCAAACAAGAAAATAAGTTCTGGGACAGCTTGTCCCTCATTCCAGTGAGATTGTACTAAAATGGTTGGGTGGTGATCCTGTTGCTATATTTTCAGGGAAGGGCTTTGAGGAGCTAATGACTGTGAATCTGGCACGGTATAAACCAACAGGAGAGCTTGTCACTGTCCGGAGGATCAACTTAGAGACCTGCACCAATGAGATGGTGGGATTTTTGCAGGTACAGTTCGTTTGGTTTGTCTATTCTGGAACATGTTTATCTTTCTTGGGCTTGAATTAGAGCTACAGACCTCCCTTTAGCCATTCTCTTGCAAAGGCCACATAATTTTGGAATTAGGAAAAAGGCCACCCTTCCATTTTCTGACCTATTGTCTCATCTAGGGGCTACATCTAGAATCACAGAACAGATCATTCTCTGGATGTTTCACAAGTAGTCAGCTGATATCTGGATTACTTTCTCATGCCAGCTGTTCAAGACAGCACTTCAAAGTTATTTTTCTGTTAGAAATGTTTTAAAATATTTTTTAATTTGCAACCATTCCTGGATAACAACAAAAGAGGGGAAACATAACAGATATAAAGGAAAGTAGGAAAGCAATAGCGGAGGGGTGGGAAGTGGAGGGTGTTGGGGTGGTTATTATTCTGTTAGAAATGTTGACCCTCCCTCCAATATCTCATCATCATCTCGTCATCAGTTTCTCATGCCTTGCTAGCTAATTGAAATTTTCCTGTCTCTCTATACTGACTTACACATTCAGCAACAACAGCAGTTCTTGCAAGAGTAGCTGTCCTATGAGAAATGTTGAGGATTTCAGTGCATGACTTCTACACTGCATATCACTGCAGTTGTTCAGTATGTAGAAGAGGCAAGCATATCACTGTAGATTGTTCAGCAATAATACAGTGGTTTTGCCACAAGATCAGTTACTGCAACCGCCATAGATAGAAGATCCCTCTACTTAAAGCTTGGGAAGCCAACCAAAGGTCTAGAGCTAACCTATCAGTTTGCTTTTAGTACAAAAGGTTTTTTAAAAATCCCAATAGAAAAATAAAGCTGATCAAAGTTGTTCAAAGCACAAAGATAAACAAATTCCGACAACTTTGTAGAAAAAGAAACAGGAGCAAAAGCCTTTTAGAAGTCCCTTCTACTCATTTCATGGCGGAAGAGGAGATGGGAAGCAATGGAATAGGTCCCAATTCCAATTCAGGAAACAGTTGAAGTTGGCCGGGGAATAACAGCAATACTGATTCAGATAGAATACCACTTGACAGGGATTACTGTTCTTTGGGCAGAGCTGGGAGTCAGTCCCACCAGACCAATGGGTTTTTAATCCGGTGAAAAAAAAGGTACAAAAAACAAAAACAATTAAAACTTATGAGGTCCCATAGGAACACAGGTACAAGGGATATGCTCAGTTTCCTTCTCTGTATCCAAATATAATAATAATACATTTTATTTATATCCTGCCCCTCTCCCCTAGGGGTCTTGGAGCAGCTTACAAGGCAAAACCATACAAAATAATAATAAGCACATAATACATTAAAAAATAAGCCAAATGATAAATATAACAGAACATAATAAGAAACAAAGGTCACAAAACACATTAAATACTAGCCATCCCCTGCCATGCGTTGCTGTGGCCCACATGGGGCGTTCTGTGTGGGAGGTTTGGCCCAATTCTATCGTTGGTGGGATTCAGAATGCTCTGTGATTGTAGGTGAACTGTAAATCCCAGCAACTACAACTCACAAACATCAAGATTCTATTTTCCCCAAACTCCACCAGTGTTCACATTGGGGCATATTGAGTATTCGTGTAGAGTTTGGTCCAGATCCATCATTGTTTGAGTCCACAGTGATCTCTGGATGTAGGTGAATTATAACTCCAAAACCAAAGGACACTGCCCACCAAACCCTTCCAGTATTTTCCGTTGGTCATGGGAGTTCTGTGTGCCAAGTTTGGTTCAATTCCATCATTGGTGGGGTTCAGAATGCTCTTTGAACTATAAATCCCAGCAACTACAACTTACAAATGACAATATATATATATATATATTTAGTGAAGGACATACATTGGGTTGTTAGGTGTCTTGTGTCCAAATTTGGTGTTAATTCGTCCAGTGGTTTTTGAGTTCTGTTAATCCCACAAACGAACATTAGATTTTTGTTTATATAGATAACAAAACATACTAAATACTAGCCGTCCCTTGCCACGCATTGCTGTGGTCCACATGGGGGTTCTGTGTGGGAGGTTTGGCCCAATTTTATCGTTGGTGGGGTTCAGAATGCTCTGTGATTGTAGGTGAACTATAAATCCCAGCAACTACAACTCCCGAATGTCAAGATTCTATTTCCCCCAAATTCTACCAGTGTTCACATTTGGGCATATTGAATATTTGTGTAGAGTTTGGTCCAGTTCTGTCATTGTTTGGGTCCACAGTGATCTCAACTACAACTCCAAAACCAAAGGACACTGCCCACCAAACCCTTCCAGTATTTTCTGTTGGTCATGGGAGAACTGTGTGTCAAGTTTGGTTCAATTTCCTTGTTGGTGAGGTTCAGAATAATCTTTAATAGTAGGTGAACTATAAATCCCAGCAACTGCAACTCCCAAATGACAAAATCAAGTTTTTGAGTGAAGGACATACATTGGGTTGTTAGGTGTCTTGTGTCCAAATTTGTTCACAATTCGTCCAGTGGTTTTTGAGTTCTGTTAATCCCACAAACAAACATTAGATTTTTGTTTATATAGATAACAAAACATATTAAATATAAATGTAATGGTTCTAGATTCAAAATACCTATTCATAAAATATTGGTATTTCAGATATCATGGCAAATGTGAAGATAAATGAGTTTTTGTGAATCTATAGGAAGCTTATTTTTATATTCCAATGTCAGAGCACTTCAAAATATTTCTGAGCTTTCATTAACAGAACGGGCGTATTGGTTCACCACAGTTCCATTTGGTCTAGCCTTGGCACCAAAGTGCTGGTTCCTCTTATAGCACGTTTAAGGCAAAGAGGGATACAACGATTCCCTTATATTTAGACAACATCTAGACGCAAGGCCAAAAGAGATTTGAATGAAATAATTATCTTTCTTCAAAAACACATGGCTTGCTCCTGCAGTCATCCAAATCTACCACTAAAATAAATTAATTATCACATAATCTGATAAGTGCTTACTCAGAATTAGAGTTCCATTGGAGTCACTTAGAAAGTGTACCTAGATTACGGCTTCAGTGCTTTTAATTATGGCCTTGTGGAAATGGGCCCTCATTTGCTGAAGGAATCGTGTGCTTTCCCCAGCATAACTATAAGGGATATGTGTTCATGTGTTCTCTAGATGTCTTCTAATAATTAAGCAGTTTATTAAAATGCGGTTATGGCATAATCCTTTTTTGTTTCAGGGAGAACTTCATGTCTCAAAGTTCTTCAGTCACCCCAACCTTGTGCCATATAAAGCAGCCTTCATAGCTGACAATGAACTGTGGGTTATTACATCTTTCATGGCTTATGGTAGGTATAACATGTATACTAATTTTGGACAATGAGATGGGAAAATTTTTAATGACTCTTTGTTCACTGATGGGTCTATGGGTTATAATAAATTGTTGGTTGAGATTGTCGCTGGTATAATATGAATTACCTTCCTACTATGAAGCACAGTCTGCTTAGGTTGTATCATCTTCAGTGTGAAGCCATATTCACACATTGCTGGTGACAGTGGGAGTACAAGAAAAAATGTGATGGGAAGCTGTATCTTGCACACATTAACACCCCATCTTAAATGTACTGTATTACTATGAAATAAAAGCCTATTTATTGTGATTAAGGTAGTGGTATAAGGTATTGCACACAGATATTTCATTGATGCACAAATTAAACTGATTAATTTCTTTAGGAATGGTTATTTTTAATTAAAAGCATTTATTATTTACTAAACTGTTATAAAAGCAACTGTTTCTTTAGAACAGGGGTCTTCAAACTTTATAAACAGAGGGCCAGGTCACAGTCCCTCAAACTGTTGGAGGGCCGGATTATAATTTGAAAATAATAATAATAATAATAATAATAATAATAATAATAATAATAATAATAATCCTTTATTTATACCCCCCGCTACCATCTCCCGGAGAACTCGGTGCGGCTTGCAAGAGGTCGAGCCCATATACATCAGTAAAAACAGCAACAACAATACAACAATAAATGAACTCAAAACAAAGCAATAAACATTAACAACATACCGCGATGAATGAATTCCTATGCACACTGCACATACCTTATTTGTAGTGCAAAACAAACTTAAAAACAATACAATAATTAAAATGGAGAACAATTTTAACAAATATAAACTTATTAGTATTTCATTGGGAAGTGTGGGCTGCTTTTGGCTGATGAGATAGGATTGATGTTGTTCTTGTTGTTGTTGTGTGCTTTCAAGTCGTTTCAGGTTGACCCTGAGCGAGGGCTGGGTAAATGACCTTGGAGGGCTGTATCCGGACCCCGGGCCTTAGTTTGAGGACCCCTGCTTTAGAAGCAGGATAATAAGGCAGGAAGAATACAATGTCATGCTTGAATACAAAGAAACTATCTTAGATTTGAACATGGTGTGATTTGCATATATGCTTATACAAATAATACAACTCTAAGAACAATGGTCCTTTCTTTTCTGGATCTTGAAAATACTTCGTATTTGTATTCCTTCACTTTATAGGTTCTGCTAAAGATTTAATTAGTACACATTTTATGGATGGGATGAGTGAACTAGCGATGGCTTATATTCTCCAAGGTGTGTTGAAGGCTCTTGATTACATTCACCATATGGGATATGTTCACAGGTAAGGAGAGCTATTGCAGCTGAAAGCCATTGAAAGCAATGCAACATGGCTTTAATTCCCTCTCACTATTTTAATTTCCTACAGAATGTCAGGAAGTTGTGATTGTAGTGAGAATAGCTGTTTTTAGCTGCTGTCAAGTCGATTTTGACTTATGCTGACCCTATGAATAAGAGACCCCCAAATCACGCTGTCATCAGATCTTGCAGACTCAGGGTTTCTGAGACCACAAGGGCCATCCAGTCCTGCCTTGAAAGAAAACAAAGCATTCCCAACAGATAACCATTCAGCATCTGCTTAAAAACCTCCAGAGAAGAAGACTTTATCACCCTACAAGGCAGCATATTCCATTGCCAAACAGCTCTTACAGTCAAGAAGTATTTCATTGTGTTTATGTGGCATCTTTTTTCCTGCTGTTTGAATCCATTGCTCCTAGTCTCCAAAGCAGCAGAAAGCACATTTCCCCTTCCTCAGTGAGAAAGTCTTTAAAATATTTAAACATGGTAATCATGTCTCCTCTCAGCCTTCTTTTCTCCAAGCTAAATAGTAGTAGTGGTAGTAATAATAATAATAATAATAATAATAATAATAATACTTTATTTATATACCGCTCCATCTCCCCGAGGAGACTCAGAGTGGTTCCCAGGTAACATCACAAAACATACAAAGTAAAAAACAACATAACCATAAGATTAACAAAACAAAATATAAGCAGTGTCATATTCTTAAAACAGTGTCATATTCTTAAATGACAGGTTCTTATCTAAGTATCAAATGGAAGTAGCTTGTTCAGATGGGGGTTTGTGGCAGCTTTCTCTCTATCCTCTTTGCATGCAGGAGTGTGAAGGCCAGTCATGTCCTGATTTCTGCAGATGGGAAGGTGTACCTTTCTGGCTTACGCACTAACCTCAGCATGATCAGTCATGGCCAGCGTCTCAAAGTGGTTCACGACTTCCCCAAGTACAGCATCAAGGTCCTGCCATGGCTGAGTCCAGAGGTTTTGCAACAGGTAGGTGAGCTCTTTCTTAATCTCATGAAAAGAATAACTGGTTGAAATTATGTATTTTGATACAATACATACATGATAGTCCTTTCACTAACCCAATTTATTATGAGCTTCTTAATTTGTGCATGTTTTATGGATGGAATAAGTATTTATTTGTTGTGTCAGGGTAACCAGTCAATTTTATTACATTTCTAACAGAACAAAACAAACAAACAGACAAAATACAATTTTGTGAACTTGGTAGTTGATTAAATGTCCTTTGACCAGTATCTGGCCACTTGGAGTGCCTCTGGTGTTGCCGCAAGAAGGTCCTCCATTGTGCATGTGGCAGGGCTCAGGTTGCATTGCAGCAGGTGGTCAGTGTTTTGCTCTTCTCCACACTCGCATGTCGTGGATTCCACTTTGTGGCCCCATTTCTTGAGGTTGGCTCTGCATCTCGTGGTGCCAGAGCGCAGTCTGTTCAGTGCCTTCCAAGTCGCCCAGTCTTCTGTGTGCCCAGGGGGGAGTCTCTCATTGGTATCAGCCATGGATTGAGGTTCTGGGTTTGAGCCTGCCACTTTTGGACTCTCGCTTGCTGAGGTGTTCCAGCGAGTGTCTCTGTAGATCTTAGAAAACTATGTCTTGATTTAAGTCGTTTACGTGCTGGCTGATACCCAAACAGGGGATGAGCTGGAGATGTCTCTGCCTTGGTCCTTTCACTATTGGCTGCTACTTCCCGGCGAATGTCAGGTGGTGCAATACCGGCTAAACAGTGTAATTTCTCCAGTGGTGTAGGGCACAGACACCCCGTGATAATGCAGCATGTCTCATTAAGAGCTACCTCTACTGTTTTAGTGTTGTGAGATGTGTTCCACACTGGGCATGCATACTCAGCAGCAGAGTAGCATAGTGCAAGGGCAGATGTCTTCACTGTGTCTGGAATAAGTAAACAACATATGATTTATATTCTCCAAGGACACTTTTAAGATCAAGTTGAGGTGCTATGAATAGTTGTTTTGATATGTTTAAGGGTTTTAACTGTTTGTTTTTAATACCGTTAATATTTAATTCTATTATAATATTCGTATTTTTTTTATTTTTATATATATACATTGTATATATTTTAAATTGTATTGTTTTGTTTTTACTGAAAGCTGCTTTGAGTCTCTTTTTTAGAGAGAAATAGCAGGATACAAATAATTATAATAGTTGTTAATTATTATTTGTATCACACTTTAATTATTTTTATTGTTGTTATTATGCCAATGATTTTTGTGTAGATTTATCCTTAAACCGCAAAATGATGTGTTCCTCCCTCACCTTCCACTCAATTAGAATGTTTAAGAAGTAGAAATGTAAGCATCTGTAAATACTGTCTTGGTGTGAACAACTGGAACAGATTTGGCATTTATGTCCTTTTGTTGTCGATTTAGATAAGGATTCCAAAAGTTTAAACCCAATGCTGTTTTTATTTTCTGGTTTTAGAATCTTCAAGGCTATGATGCAAAATCTGACATATACAGTGTAGGAATAACTGCTTGTGAACTGGCAAATGGTCATGTCCCCTTCAAGGATATGCCTGCAACACAGGTAAGGAAGTTTTCATTCCTTTTCCTGTTACAGTATGCACTTTGACTAAAGGACTGTGTCAGAAAAAGATACAGTAGCACTTCAGTTGCTCATTGATGTGAGCTTGTCTAATCTCATGGAGCCCCCGTGGTGCAGTGGGTTAAACTGCTGAACTGTGAACTTGCTGACTGAAAGATCACAGGTTCAAATCCGGGGAGCAGTGTAAGCTCCCGCTGTTAGCCCCAGCTTCTGCCAACCTAGCAGTTCGAAAACATGCAAATGTGCGATCGATAGGTACCGCTCAAGTGGGAAGGTAACAGTGCTCCATACAGTCATGCCGGCCACATGACCTTGGAGGTGTCTATGGACAACGCTGCTCTTCGGCTTAGAAATGCAGATGAGCACCAACCCCCAGAGTCAGACATGACTGGACTTAATGTCAGGGGGAAACCTTTACCTTACTTGTCTAATCCCAGGTGCCTTTCTTTTTCACACTCCAGATGCTCTTGGAGAAGCTCAATGGCACTGTCCCTTGTCTCCTGGACACAACCACAATTCCTCCAGAAGAGCTGACCATGAAACCCTCCCACTCGGGAACTAGCAGTGGGCTTGGGGATGGCATGGCAGCCAGCAGTGGCAGGGCCTCTAACGGGGACGCAGCACCACATCCATACCATCGTACATTTTCACCTGCCTTCCACCACTTTGTGGAGCAGTGCCTGCAGAGGAACCCAGACATGAGGTATAGTGAGAGAAAATATTTGAAATTCTTTAATATATTGTCGAAGGCTTTCGTGGCCGGAATCACTGGGTTGTTTTAGATTCTTTCGGGCTATATGGCCATGTTCTAGAGGCCTTCTCTCCTGACATTTTGCCTGCATCTATGGCAAGCATTCTCAGAGGTAGTGAGGTCTGTTGGAACTAGGAAAATGGGTTTATATATCTGTGGAATGACATAGGTAGGACAAAGAATTTTTGTCTGCTGGAGCTAGGTGTGAATGTTTCAACTGACCACCTTGATTAGCATTTGATGGCCTAGCAGTTGTTTGGTGTGGCTTGTTAGTGCCTGGAGCACTCTTTTGTTGAGAGGTGATTAGATGTCCCCGATTGTTTCCTCTCTGTAGTTTTGCTGTTGTAATTGTAGAGTTTTTTAATACTGGTAGCCAGATTTTGTTCTTTTTCATGGTTTCCACCTTTCTGTTGAAATTGTCCACATGCTTGTGGATTTCAATGGCTTCTCTGTGTAGTCTGACATGGCGGTTTTTAGAGTGGTCCAGCATTTCTGTGTTCTCAAATAATATGCTGTGTCCAGGTTGGTTCATCAGGTGCTCTGCTATGGCAAACCTCCCACACAGAACCCTCATGTGGGCCACAGCAACACGTGGCAGGGGGCGGCTAGTCTATATAAATAAAAATGTAATGTTCGTTTGTGGGATTAACAGAACTCAAAAACTACTGGACGAATTGACACCTAATTTGGACACAAGACACTTAACAACCCAATATATGTCCTTCACTCAAAACTTTTTGATTTTGTCATTAGGGAGTTGTAGTTGCTTGGATTTATAGTTCACCTGCAATCAAAGAGCATTCTGAACCCCACCAACGATGGAATTGAACCAAACTTGGCACACAGTTCTCCCATGACCAACAGAAAATACTGGAAGGGTTTGGTGGGCAGTGTCCTTTGGTTTTGGAGTTGTAGTTCACCTACATCCAAAGATGACTGTGCAAAGTTTACAAGAATACTCAATATGCCCAAATGTGAACACTGGTGGAGTTTGGGGGAAATAGAATCTTGACATTTGGGAGTTGTAGTTGCTGGAATTTATAGTTCACCTACAATCCAAGCGCACTCTGAACTCCACCAATGATGGAATTGAACCAACTCCCTTCACCAGAGCAAGAAAAAGTAATCAAAGCCCTCCCAACAAAGAGCCATCCGACCATAGATATAGATATATATGATTCACACACACAGAGAGAGATATAGTATCATAAATTTGAAAGGGACACCTACAGAAGGGCAATATGTTGCCTGTTCCAGAGTAGGCAAACCAGACAATCTCCACATCAACACGGACAAAGAAACAGCAAGAAATACTGTTTACCCACAAGCAGAAAGACATGACATATATTAGAGACCAACTCTTTCTCATTACTTTATTTTCCAGATCACCAGACTAGTCTACAGCAACGCGTGGCAGGGGATAGCTAGCAAATAAATAAATAAATAAATAAATAAACTTTGAAGCAGCTACTGCCTGCATCTGTGGAATAAATTCTCATAATCCTGCATAAAAAAGATTTGTGCAGAGATGGGGACAAATATGTACATATTTTCTTCTTGCTAATACTTGCTCATCTATTTGAAATGAACATGCCTAACATGATTTTGCATGGGGTATGGCTGGAAGGGAGCAATCATGGGTTTCCAGAAATGGAGACGTACATGCAAACTGAAGACTAGTTTCAGAGTTCGTGATGACTGAAAGGAGAGTGGTTGCAGATTAGTTTGGAGTGGAGCTGCATAAAATGCACATCCTTTCCTGTTCTACACAGTACTAGGAGTACTCTAACAATAAACCAAAATGGTGCAGGTCCCTGCAAAGGCAGGTGGAAAAGCAATATATATTTGCAAGAGGGTGGAACACAGGTGCTGGTTTTGTGTTTTCGGGTCGACACCTGCATTCTTGATCATTCCCATCTGTAGCTAGGTACAGCTGACTGTGCTAAATCTGATATTGAATATCTGGGGTCATTGAGGATTTTTCCTGCTCCCACATTTTATGCTTTTATCTTTTGCCTAGTTACATTATACAACTTAACCTTGTGTTTCTCTTGCATAGGCCAAGCGCAAGTGCACTGCTGAACCACTCCTTCTTCAAACAGGTAAACTGGCTTGTTGGCTCACCTTGAAGTCTAATATATTAGAATTTTTGTTGAGTTCAGTAATATATTCTCACTGGGAATCCCTCACTGAGCACTCCAGCAAGACTCTTGAGATTTCAAGCATGTGAAATAATGTTTTTTGTCTCACATTTTCCCCACTTTCATGGCATTCTGTGCACCTAATCCAAACAGGAGTGGAGGGCCTACTATAGTTTCTTTCTATGTAAGATTAGACATTTGCAGAGTGTCAAGTTGATTTTTGACTTCGAGCTGAGGCTGCAGAAGAAGGGAATTTAAAGTGGTGTTTAAGGCCCACCTGTTGCCCCAGCATAGAGGGAGGTGGTGGCTGGAGAATCATGAAAATGGTAATGTTCAGGGTTCTTCCCTCAAAGTCCTTTGGGTTTCACATTTTTCCCATGTAATCATTTTTCCGTCTGATTTTTAAGAGGGATCTCTTTCCTCTCCTAACCACCAGCCAGATGGTTATGAGAGCGCACTGATTGGGGATTAAGGTGACAACCTAACCATACCAGTTTCAAATATTTTATGTGAATTTCACAAAAATGAGAATGATGCTTTATTATTGAAGTTACAAATGAGTAATTGTAGGATGTTAAATTAATATAGCTCAGGGATAGATAAAACTGCAAGAGCCATGTGGTCCCCTAAACTAACTAACTTAGGTGATCCCTTGTTATCTGAGTAGGATTGTCTTCCAAGATTGGTGTACTGGCGGTGGGTCTGTAGGTGACTGTGGAGCCCTATTCTTGATCTGTATCTTCTCCCACAGTGAAGGCATTGGTTTCCAGGTGGAAGCCGGTCCTGGTTTGGGTTGGCTTGATGTGCCTTCCTCTTGGCACATTTCTCTCTTTCGCCCTCCATTCATGCCTCTTCAAATTCTACAGCACTGCTGGTCACAGCTGACCTCCAGCTGAAGCGCTCAAGGGCCAGGGCTTCCCAGTTCTGAGTGTCTATTTTTATTTTTTTTATTGTTTTCTTCATGTTTACATAAAAGGGGTGGGAACAATAGGTTTGTAGGGTAAAAAAGGGAAGGGGGGGAATTAATTGGAATGGGGATGGGGTCAGTAAGTTACTTCCAGGATCACCCAGGCTGTCTCGATTAATTGTATATTTATGTACATTTGCATACATATATACACACACATATACATATATTTATCTGAGCATATACACATGCACACACATATATTTTTTGTCCTCGCTTGATTCAGTTGTCGTCTTCATGTTTACACATTCCTTGGATTTCAATTACAGGTCTATAATTATATCTCTTTGTTTTCTTCTTTGACAAAATCCAGAACTATTTTCCGGTTGGTTCTTTGGGGTTTTGTGTAGTTATGTGAGATTCTTTGTGTCAATATGTCCATATTTATTATGTCCATTATTTTCGCTATCCACTGCTCCATTGTGGGGATTTCTTTGGTTTTCTATAATTTTGCTAGAGTCATCCTTGCGGCTGATATTAGATAGAAAAATATCTTACCCTTGTTCTTTTCTATTTTGAAGTCTAGTGATCCCAATAATAGTGTTTTTGGTTTTGGATTGAATTTTATGTTTAGGATTTTTTCTATCTTTTTGTGTATTTGTAACCAATAATTTTTTACTTTCCTACAATCCCACCACATGTGGATAAAGTTGCCTTTTTCTTTTTCACATTTATAGCATATGTCTTTTGTTTTACCTTTACTGAGTTTTTAAGGTTGGCTTTGAGCCCATCTTTAAATCTCTTTTCCTGCCCACCAACATTCCGTTTTTCTTTCTTGAGTCATCCCCAACGCTCTGGTCCCCTAGTCATCCCCCAATGTTCTGATGCTCTCTCCGTCCCTTTTGTGTCCCAGAAGCCTCTGGGGTTGCAATTTGCCATGAAGGGGATTGGTTGAGTGTTGGGGGATTGCAGACTTCCAAAGCCCTTTGAAGATGTAGGAATGGCCCTGAATTCACAGAAATTGTCCGTCCTAATATCCCTCAATGTCTGAAGTATTCAAAAGTGCAACTATATTTAACTATAGTAGGAGACTAATTTGTAGGATGCCTACAAAGCCCTGAACGGTTCGGGACCCGCCTACCTGTGTGACCGCATTACTGTGTACGAACCCACACGATCTCTCCAATCATCTGGAGAGGCCCTGCTCATGCTCCCACCTCCTTCGCAGGCACGATTGCTGGGGACGAGGGAGGGGGCCTTTTCGGTGGTAGTCCCTCAACTCTGGAAATCACTCCCTAAGGACATCAGACATGCCCCAACGCTGGCAGTCTTTAGGAGGAGCCTGAAAACGTGGTTGTTCCAGTGTGCCTTCCCAGAATAAGGAAAACTCTTAGCAATATGTCCTCAAATGCACTTTAATATTAATTTAGGATTGTCTGCGCACCCTCATCCTTCTCTGAAAACCCTATCCTAGTTCACCTCCTTGCTCATGTCCAGCATTTTTAGATTTTAATTATTACATTTGGCCTGGCCATAGGTTTTAAATGCTGTATGTTATTATTGTTATTGTTTATTGATTTATTGTGTATTTTTGTTTTTGAGTTTTATTTTATTTTATTTGTTGTATCGATTATTTGTTATTGCCTTTGTTATTGATGTGCTGTGGGCTTGGCCTCATGTAAGCCGCACCGAGACCCTTGGGGAGATGGTAGCAGAAGTTTTATTATTTATTTTATTCAGATATAGCATTTAATTTATTTTTTTTTTACTCTTTTTCAGATCAAACGCCGGGCATCTGAAGCACTTCCTGAACTGCTGTATCCAGTTACCCCAATCACTAGCTTCGAAGGAATGCAATCACAAGATCCTAGTCACATTTTTGGATTGGTTTCCAGTCTGGAGCATCTTGAGATGGATGACTGGGAGTTCTAAGCCTCCAACAGAAGGCACCCCGTAGGGTGTAGAACCCCTTCTGGAAATGTTTTCTATGGACATGGTTAATTTATTTCTCATAAAAATGATGAATGTTACATGGTCGTTTACATCTCTCTTAGAAAGGAGAAACAAAGGAGCTTACTGTGGGAAGGGAAAAAGGAGGAAATGTATGGTAAAGGTGTGGTGCTAGAGACCTCTATTACAGATTTAAGGTATGGCTGCTTTTGCAGTGAACTTCAGTTGAATTCGTTTCATTTCAGTTTAAGGATTTCCCGTAGAACAAGTAGGAGTCTGCTTTTATACGCACCTGCTACCCACAAAGCATTCTTGTTCATTCCGGCACCAGTGAAAAGCTAGTAGTTTTGCAAAACAAAATGCAAGTTGAATTTTGACAGATGTATTATCTATGTTGAACTTCATCTTCTTTTGTTGTGATGTCTTTCCCTCGCCCCTTTTTCCTCTACCTACGCAAGAACCAAGGGGCATGGTAGCTTAATCTATGGTGCTAAAAGCTGTTATCTGTAAGTCAGAGGGGCAAGGATCAGTATTTTCTAGCCAAGCCAGCATTTTCCACAGGTATTATTACTGCTCCAGCAATGGATCTATGTAAGGCTGGGTGCTATGCACTCTTTTCATTTAAAAACAAATGTCACCCATTGCTGCCAGCTGTACTTCTGCCAAATACCCCATCAGAGCTTTTTTTGCATGTTCACTATAGTTTCTCATTTGAAATGATTTTGTCAGACCTTTTAAGTTTCTGTTTAGTGAAGGTACTTGCTATTTTCTTAACCAGTTTTATTTGAGCATTGAGCCAATCTCTTTATGTTTTGCAAGGCTTATGTACTTTTTTCAGACTGCACTTGATGAACCAAAACCACATTTGTCCTTCAGTTTTGTTGCCAATAAAGATTTCTGTTCTCTCGGTTGGTGGAACTTTTGTGCCGTGTGCTTTGCCTTGTTCATCCCACAACATATACAGCCCTGTATAGAAGATTACACTATGTAACACGATTTTTGTTCCTGGGTCATAGATGTCATTTTCTAATTGGTTGTATCATTAAAACACGGGCAAAGTTTATTAAACTACAAAAACTTTGTTTTTGAGGGACATTTTGCTATAGTTTTTCAATGAATATCCCACAGTCTCAACCAATTCAGCAGTTTGTGGCAGCCACAAAAAAAGTAGTTTCTGGAGTAGAACAACTACTTTCAAACTACTGTATATACTCAAGTATAAGCTTAGTTTTTCAGCTCCTTTTTTAGGTGGAAAAAAATCCCCTCGGCTTATACTCGAGTCAAGGTTATTTATTATATTACTCTGCTATTAGTATTATTTTTGTTACATTTATTATTTTACTCTATTATTATTATTACATTTACATTATTTTACTCTATGATTACTTTCATTACATTTACATTATTTTACTGTATTATTATATTTATTGCATTTATTATTTTACTCTTATTGTTATTACATTTATTACTTTATTATTATTACTATTATTAAATTTCCATTATTTTTATTACATGTTATTACATTTATTATTTTTATTCTATCATTATAGGTAATAGGTAAGCACATATACATTGAAGGAGGTTAAAATAATGGTTGAATCAGTACTGGGCAGTGTTATCTTAAATTACAGTTTTGTGTAAATACTCAAAAACATTTAACCTACTGACGATTACCAGTAGCAGCTACATTTCTCACCCTCGGCTTATACTCGAGTCAATATGTTTTTCCAGTCTTTTGTCGTAAAATTAGGTCCCTCAGCTTATATTCAGGTCAGTTTATACTTGAGTATATATATGGTAAGTATCATACAATTAAACAGGAAATAACACTTTCAAACCAGGAACATATTTTTTAAAAAAAATGTTACATAGTGTTATAGGAATTTTTAAGATTGGATGCATGTTTCAGTCTCTTAGAAATTAAATAATTTCAGAAGACGCTTAAGCAATTAGCAATAGCAACCTATTTTTCAAACATTCTGTAATAGTACAGAATATTGAATACTCCAAAAATAAGTATGCTATGCCAGATATCTATCATTTTTGCCTAAAGTATAAAATCTGAAACATCCGCTGAATTTTCTATAAATTATTTATTCAGCTATCGAACTACCTTTTTGAACGAGGAAGAAATAAAGTATTACTCTGGTGCCTCAACATTATCTGGAGGTCCTTCTTCAGCCTTATGTTTTTCCAGTCTTGCTATCAGTTCTGAAAAACAAACAAACCAAAAGATTAAACCTGCCAAATGCTGGCCAAGATTCTGCAGGAGGAAAAAGACATAAAATTCCACCCAGGCAGAAGTGCAGCATCACCTCTTCTGCTGGATTACCCTGTTTCTTGCTTTCTCCAAAACTTCATAGTGGCTCTCCTGTAGTCCCAGATATTATGGAGACTCAAAGATATAGTGGTGTTGTGTATCCACAAAGGACATAGCTGGATACTTCCCATATTCCACATTAGACTACGACTGTGTAGACAGGGTTCACATTCCTGCTCAGCCACAGAAGCCACCTGGAAGATATTGGGCAAGTCACACTCTCAGCTGCAGAGGGAAGCAATGTAACTCCCCTCTGAACAACTCTTGCTAGGAAACCACACACCTTGGGGTCACCATAAGTTGGAAATGTCTTAAAGGCAGACTAACAACACCCAGTGGGTTTCCATGGCTCAGCAGGGATTCAAATCCTGTGGTATAACTACACTGACCAAAAATGTTGAACAAAAGTGGCAAAGGAGGATGCTAATTGAATGTGCACTTAATCCTACGTCAAGCACAGGAACCAGGCTGAAGCCTGGACAGTACTTATATCCACCAGAAAGTTTGGCTCTGACCTAATTCCAAGATCTGTATTAGCTTCATAGCCATGAAGAATTCAGGTTTATTTTTTCGAAGCCCTTTCTCCAATGCACATCACAGGTTCACCTATCCCTTAATCAGTTTCACCGCGTAATTTAGTTTGCACCTAACACGCACTAATTTACACTACGGGCCCTATTTCAGAGCATCCTGCAATTTTGCTTATCCAGTTTAAGGCCTCTAACGCACGTTCCTGCATGCAACTGCATCATGAGTCATTAAAACACTGCTTTTTGAGATGCCTTCAATCCACGTCAAGTGGTGAGTGTAGATGTGGCCCTGATCTCCTTAAGTTATACTCCAACGTTGAAACCACTACACAACACTGTCACTCCTAAGCACTGCATGAAGTACTACTTATTATCCTGCGAGCATCCACATACCCACTAAGTCAAATGTGATGCACTGGAAGATGTATTCTGCATAAGATGAGAAAAATGGAAACTGCATGTCATAATGCAGAGGCTGCTAAACCACTAAGAGGGAAGTTCAGGATGTTGCTGACCCGGCCAAAGAGTGCTAGTACTCTTTGGCCCCACCTACTCCAAGATGAACTGAACTGCTTAAACTGAGCTTTACAGGCCAATGGATACTCCACCTCAGACATCAGAAGAGCTGCAAGACCGAGAACAAGCCACGAGAGTAAAGACAAAGATCCACCCAGAGGAAAAGTGTTCTTGCCATACATCAAGGGAACCACTGACCGCATAGGGAAGCTGATGAGGAAACACAACATACAAACTATCTACAGACCCACCAAGAAAATCCAACAAATGCTACATTCAGCAAAGGACAAGAGGGATCCTCTCGCTTCTGCAGGAGTCTACCGTATACCATGCAGCTGTGGACAAGTCTACATAGCAGCATTGCCCAAATACGGATCAAGGAACATGAAAGGCACTGCAGACTACTTCAACCAGAGAAGTCAGCCATAGAAGAGCACCTGATGAACCAACATATTATTTGAGAACACAGAAATGCTGGACCACTCTAACCACCATGTCAGACTACACAGAGAAGCCATTGAAATCCACAAGCAAGTGGACAATTTCAACAGAAAGGAGGAAACCATGAAAATGAACAAAATCTGGCTACCAGTATTAAAAAACTCTAAAATTACAACAGCAAAACAACAGAGAGGAAACATCTAATCACCTCTCAACAAAAGATTGTCCCAGGCACTGCCAGGCCATCAAATGCTAATCAAGGTGGTCAGTTGAAACATTCACACCTAGCTCCAACAGACAAGAGTCCTTTGTCCCACCCTGGTCATTCCACAGATATATAAATCCATTTTCCTAGTTCCAACAGACCTCACTACCCCTGAGGATGCTTGCCATAGATGCAGGCGAAACGTCAGGAGACAATGCCTCTAGAACATGGCCATATAGCCCGAAAAAACCTACAACAACCCAGTGTTAGCACTATTTGCAGGGTTCCTTTTTGGTGGCCAGGTACTTTTAAATGGCCACTAGCCATCCAAGTTGTATTCTAGAGGAACTGTCTATATCAGGGGTCCTCAAACTTTTTAAAAGAGGGCCAGGTCACAGACCCTCAAACTGTTGGAGGGCTGGATTATAATTTGAAAAAAATGAATGAATTCCTATGCACAGTACACATATCTTATTTGTAGTGCAAAAAAACACTTTAAAACAATACAATAATTAAAATGAAAAACAATTTTAACAAATATAAACTTATTAGTATTTCAATGGGAAGTGTGGGTCTGCCTTTGGCTGATGAGATAGGATTGTTGTTGTTGTTGTGCTTTCAAGTCGTTTCAGACTTAGGTTGACCCTGAGTGAGGGCCAGGTAAATGACCTTGGAGGGCCGTATCCAGCCCCTGGGCCTTAGTTTGAGGACCCCTGGTTTATATCATAGTAAGTACAATATACTTGTCTGGGATAAACCCATCAATGAATCCACAACTGGGGTGCCATTACCTTTAGCTGGGTTGAAGACACCATTTGTTTGTTTGTCACACACATAACACCTTTGAGATTTGCGATAATGTTGGAGGGCACAGCTCTCACAGAAATAGTGTTTACACCTGAAAAAGGCACAAAACAAAGAGTCAGCCAAAGCAGATCATTTACAAAGGGGTGGAATTAAAGGGTTCCTATGCCAGGGATTTTGAGCCTGATTGTTGATCAAATAATTTCAATTTTGTATGAGTTTCAAATTGCCATCAAAAAGTAGCAAGCAAAATCTCTTTTAATTAGCAAGTCAGTATATTGTCATTCTATGTTCAATATTAAGTTGCTTAGTTTTTCCCACACTTTAATCAATGACAGAATGTTATTTATTAAACTCTTTCTGTATCTTCTCCTGAACCACAAATAAAAACCAATTGAAACACATTAAAATACTCTAAAACTCCTTAAAAGTCTAAAAACAATCTCAGAATCCAATTTTCAACCAGGTGGTCTTTCAGATAAACATTGGCCCCAAGTTGTTTAGGGATTCATAAGCCAACGCCAGCACCTTGAGTTGAGCTAGGAAGCAAATCAGAAGCCAGTGCAGTTCTTGCAAGAATTATGCTCTATGATCTCTAAAATTCAAGATCGACAACCTTGTTTGTATCTCAACTATGTTTTAAGGAAACATCTACGTAGCTCAGACTGTAAAGCCTTAAAATGTTTTTTTTAAAAGGAGAACCTGAATCTTATATCTTACTTGGTCACCACAGGGTTCTTGAAGGAATTTCTGCAGATGAAACACTTGAAAGGAAGGTCTTCGTCATCACTGCTTACTTCATAGTTTTCATCATCTGCATAAGAAAATAATTGCTCATTTCTGCCCATTTTAATAGGATGTTCATTCTGCCCATCTCATGTGGGAAGGTGTATTTGCTCAGAATAAATAGACTTCAGTATTTAGATGAAGTCTATTTACTCTTGACACCAACTGTAAACAGCCCCGAGCCACCTGCGGGCTGCGAGGGACGGTATATAAATATAGTAAATAAATACAGAGTGAGGCAGCATAACTTCCTTTTTTTTAATGCGCGCCATTCAGTCGGTTGAAGACTTAGCAGAGGGCTGTTCGAGAGGCGGGAGTATAAAGTTTTGTCCTGACACAGTTCAGTCGCCATCATGCGTTGGAACAGTGAGGAGCATGCTTGTGCCGTTGAGGCCTACTTTTCGAGCAGATTTGGAGTGGCCGGCCCGCTCTCCAGATTTGGCCCCTTGTGATTTTTTTCTATGGGGTTTTTTGAAATCCCATGTTTATGTGAACCGTCCAAGGACCCTACAAGATTTGAAAATCAACATCCAGGAAGAAATTGCCAACATAACACCTGCTATGCTGGCAAGAGTCATGACAAACGCCAGAAATCGGTTTACTCAGTGTATGGAAAATGGGGGACGTCACCTACCTAATTTGATCTTCAAAACTACGTAAAACAAAACTTTAGGTATGTGCCTACATTATATATAAAAAATTCTGATTCATACAATGGGTTTTATTAAGTTTTGAAAAAAGGAAGTTATGCTGCCTCACCCTGTAAATAGATACTGCCTCTGAAGTCACCAGCATATAAAATGAAAATATTGGGCTTAATCCACTAATTATACTACTCTTAAACCATCTGCTCTTGTTTTCTTATTATTATTAAGAGAGGAGTAACTCTGCTATACACATTCACTAGGCAAACACTGCAGACCGAAAAAATGCAGAATGTAATCCTTCCTTTGTTTCTAGTTCACAATCCCTGTCACTTTCACTTTTAGTGCAATATTAATACTTTGTGTCCCTCTCTGCAATACCATACCACCCTGAAAAAAACCACATACCTAAATTCATCTCATCTTGGAAACTATGGAGGATAGGGCCTATTTAGTACTTTCCTCTGAGATTACAAGGAGAATTGAATCAAAAAGGTCAAAAAAGAGCTAGGAATATCAGCCTGAAGCCCTGGAGAGCCAGTTATTACTCGAAGTTAACAATACTGGTCTGACTTGGAGCATGCATCCTCTTCTTCTTCTTCTTCTTATTATTATTATTATTATTAAGTAGTCAGGGATAAGTAAGTTGGGGACAACGTTCATTCCAGTGAAGGTGTAACTACAGGGTGAGGCAGCATAACATCCTTTTTAAAAATGCGCACCATTCAGTCGGTTGAAGACGTAGCGGAGCGCTAGTGGTCTCGTTCGGGAGGCGGGAGTATAAAGTTTTGTCCTGACACAGTTAAGTTGCCAATTCCCTATCTAGCCCTATATTCTTTACAGAGTCCAAATGTATCTCCCTCTGTGAACCATCTTGGAGGTTAATATAATCTGAGGAGGCTTGCTCTCTATCTCACCGCCCTCGCAGGCGTGACTGGTAAGGATGAGAGACAGGGTCTTCTCAGTGGTGGCCCCTCGGCTGTGGAACTCCCTCCCCAGGAAATTTAGATCAGACCCCTCCTGCCTGACCTTCTGAAAGAAAGTGAAGACATAGTTATGGGACCAAGCCTTTGGACAATGATTCCCAGTGCAATAATGATCTCTCAATGCAATAATGAATAATGCAAGTTACAGCCGAAATGTCCCCTGGAATATGCACCGGGATTGTGGTGCAGCTGGCTGAGTGTCAGCTGCATTAAGATCACTCTGACCAAAAGGTCATGAGTTCGAAGCCAGCCCGGGTTGGAGTGGGTTTCCAACCAATTGTGTACCTGTTGTCGACCTTTGCAACCCGAAAGACAGTTGCATCTGTCAAGTAGGAAAATAAGTTACCACCTTAAAGTGTGGGGAGGCTAAATTAACTAATTTATGAGGCCATAAAAAAAGACTCCAGCAAAAGCATGCGGGGAATGCGGAAGTACTTCATCAGTGTCGCAGATGGACGATGAAAGCGACAGCTCCCCTGGCGGCCAGAAAAAGTTAAATAGCCTCTGTCTATGTCTGTATATGTTGTATGTCAAAATTGGCATTGAATGTTTGCCATATATGTGTACACTGTAATCCGCCCTGAGTCCCCTGCGGGGTGAGAAGGGCGAAATATAAAGCTGCAAATAAATAAATAAATAAATAAATATTGTGTGATTTTACTTAATTGTTTTAAGCTTAATATGTTTTAAGTATGTGATTTTAAAGTATATGTTGTTTTATTCTATATATGTAGTCATGGCATTAAATTGTGCCTTTGTTGTGAGTCACCGAGTCCCCTTTGGGGTGAGAAGGGCAGGATATAAATAAATGCAATCATCCGTTGGAACAGTGAGGAGCGTGCTTTTGCCATTGAGGCCTACTTTTCGAGCGGATTTGAAGTGGCCAGCCCACTCTCCAGATTTGGCCCCTTGTGATTTTTTTCTATGGGGTTTTTTGAAATCCCGTGTTTATGTGAACCGTCCAAGGACCCTACAAGAGTTGAAGACTGACATCCAGGAAGAAATTGCCAACATAACGCCTGGCAAGAGTCATGACAAACGCCAGAAATCGGTTTACTCAGTGTATGGAGAATGGGGGACGCCACCTACCTAATTTGATCTTCAAAACTACGTAAAACAAAACTTTAGGTATGCGCCTATATTATAAAAAAATCTGATTCATACAATGGGTTTTATTAAGTTTTGAAAAAGGGAAGTTATGCTGCCTCACCTGTAACTTGAGTTCCTTAAAAGCAATGTTCTCCACAAAGGAATACAAACAAGTTATTTTGAACCTTTTGAATACTCTTTCCATACCAGCACTCTAACACTATAGAGGCCTAATTATATCTCTTACTCCTTCTCCCTGAAAGCTTTAACTATTTTCCTCAAAGAGGTAACTTTTAACAACAGTTCCCAAAACTCTTCCTTCTTTCCTTCCTCTTCAAAACTCCTAACTAACTCTTTAAATGCCAAACTCCCAACTGACAATTATGGCTCTCTTAGTTCCTTCCTTTCCCTATGACTCTGCCCATCTCCAGTTGCTAAGCGACTACCTCCAATTTCAACAGCCAAGCAGACTGCACTTCTAGCTATGAAGCTACCTGATCGCTCCACACCCCTGCTCTCTTTAGCTTTTCCAAGTCAGGCCTGTCTACTACCTTTACACCAACCCTATAAGGTAGGCCAATCCGTTAAACTCTGCATCTAAACCGTTTAAGTGAGTAAACACGAGAATAACTACAATCAAAAGTAAAGAGATTATACCGTTAACTCCGTAGCGTCCCTCATCCAACTCTCGCTCGATTTGCCACCCATGCTTGTAGTCTGATCGATCATGGAGAAATTTACAGCTATCTATAGAAAAACAAACAAATGATTTGTCATTAACTGCTCCCCACATACAAGCAAACAGCACATTTATGGAGATTCACGATCTTCAACAACAATTCTGATTGACTGAAGCAAAATCTTTTATTTGGAAAGTATGTGGGAGAGCCATTTACCTCCAAAGCCACAAAAACCGGTTTCTTTGTAGTCTTTACAGATGTCAGGTTGATAGTCCCACCGTACTGTGGCCCTGAGGTGCTCTGGGGCTCGTATAGGTCCCTTCCTGAAACAAGAAATACAAGTATAATGCAGTTCATTGTGTGCTGGCCACAAAAAGTAGATAAGGATAACAAAGAACAAAAAAGGAGAGAACCAAAATTTGGTAGGTTTGCCTTCTAAATTTATAAATATATGAAGAAAATAATTATTAATGGGAAGAAAGAGTTGGATTTCAGAACAGGTATTTAAATTTCAAGGCTGTAACTACAAAAAAAAAGTAAGGGGAGGTAAATGCTGGGATGTGAGTATCGCTAGATTTCTCAAAACACTACAGGTCTCTTGAGAAAACTGCACAGAATAACTGCAGGATTTTTCAGCACCATCGCAGGCCACTTGGAAATGGCAACAATAATGGTAATTAAGAACAGAATATGTCACACAGGCAGAGAAGCTAAGGGAGACTAGTAAAGTTTCCACTCCTATACAAATGCTTATATTCTGTGATAAATGTCACAAGGCTTTACTTTACTTTTTCCTTACCTTACCATGCCTGATGAAGCATTTCCCATGGATGTATCTTTTGGCTTCACATACTTTTGGTAATTATTGATCCCACGATAAATCTTATCATCTTCCTTTCCTCTAAGTTCCTGAAGGAAGAGGGAGAGAATAACCAATCACACATCCAATAAGCACGGCAGCTTGAGTGACATTACATGTGTCTCTATCACCATTTATATACCTGGGAGTCACTCTGGACCTTGCCCTGACCTACAAGAAGCATTGCCTGAATATCAAGCAAAAAGTGGGTGCTAGAAACAGTATCATACGAAAGCTGACTGGCACAACCTGGGGATCACAACCAGACATAGTGAAGACATCTGCCCCTGCGCTATGCTACTCTACTGCTGAGTATGCATGCCCAGTGTGGAACACATCTCACTACACTAAAACAGTGGATGTGGCTCTTAATGAGACATGCCGCATTATCACGGGGGGTCTGCGCCCTACACCACTGGAGAAATTACACTGTCTAGCCGGTATTGCACCACCTGACATCCACCGGGAAGTAGCAGCCATTAGTGAAAGGTCCAAGGCAGTGACATCTCCAGCTCATCCCTTGTTTGGGTATCAGCCAGCACGTCAATGACTTAAATCAAGAAATAGTTTTCTAAGATCTACAGAGACACTTGCTGGAACACCTCAGCAAGCGAGAGTCCAAAAGTGGCGGGCTCAAACCCAGAACCTCAATCAATGGCTGATACCAAATGAGAGACTCTCCCCTGGGCACACAGAAAACTGGGCGACTTGGAAGGCGCTGAACAGACTGCGCTCTGGCACCACGAGATGCAGAGCCAATCCTAAGAAATGGGGCTACAAAGTGGAATCCACAACATACGAGTGTGGAGAAGAGCAAATGACAGACCTTCTGCTGCAATACAACCTGAGCCCCGCCACATGCACAATAGAGGACCTTCTTGCGGCAACAGCAGAGGCACTCCAAGTGGGCAGATACTGGTCAAAGGACATTTAAGCAACTACTAAGGTTGCAAACTTTGTGTTTTGTCTGTTTGTTTGTTTTGTTAAAAATGTAATATAACTGTCTGGTTGCTCCTGACACGATAAATAAGATACCATTTGTATGTGGGAAAACACACAGAGCTTTGAGTAACCAGGGTGGTCCCATTAATTTTATAGGGTTTTTTTTTAGTCAAGATGTGTTTTGCCACTGCCTTCATGCAAAATATTGCCTACACTAACCGGCATTCCTTGAAGGTTACGCATCTACTACATGCAAACCATGTTATTTTCTATGCATGAATGCCATTAAGTAGCCCTAAGTGTCGCAGAAAAACAGGTTATAGGACCCAACAGGTGAAACCAGACAGGTGACAGGAAGCAGAATCAAGAAGAGTAATAAAGGCATTGCTGTTGCTTAAAGGGAGAAGGAAGGATTATTACTTGGCCATAGAAAACTACTGGGTGATCTTGAGGAAGTGATCTTGGGGAGCTGTCTCAACTTCAAAGGCAGGCAAAGGAAGCCCTGCCCATTTTGAACAAATTCTGTCAAGAAAAGCCCTTGATGGGTTTGTTTTGGGGTTGCCATACGTCAGAAATGACTTAAAGGCACACAGCGATATACGAAACAATATTGAGAAATAGAAGTTTACTATACATGTCTAGATTGTGAAAAAGAAATACAAAAATACAATGATGAAGAGAAGGGCCATGAAGGCAATTCCATCTTGCCTCCAGTGTCATCAGTTGAGAGCCCCCCCTCCCCCAGCACCAACCGCTACTCTGAGATCAGAGTGAAGAGAGGGGCCAGGAAGGCAGTTCCATCTTGTCTCCTGCAGTGCATATAATATAATATATTGCATATACATATAATATTGATAATATTATAATGTAATACAATATAATACTAATTATGATATTATAATTATATTTTATATTAAATGTAATATTACTAATCATATTACAGTATAATGTTATAGTACAATGTAATAGATAATATTAATATTGTGCTATGGTAATAATATAATATATTGTATTTACTTTTTACTTGTAAGCTGCTCTGAGTCCCCTTCGGGGTGAATCTTGTATATAAATCTTGTAAATAAATAATACCTTAAATTAAGAGTTTAATTCATTTTGTGGCTGAGCTCTTAACTCAAAACACTTTTATCTCAAAGGGAAATTTCTCATTGAAATGCTATTAATCCATTCTGGCCCCATGTTTTTTGTTATGTGTTTTTAAATAAGAAAATGTACTTTATAAATAACAAACAATGTATAAATGCACATTCACATAGAACAATAAAAAATTCAATTTTAAAATGGTAGAAGCACGAAGTTGTGGCAAGGAAGCATAAAGCACAAAGTGAAGAGGCTGAAGTATCATTTTCTTCATATTGTACTTATCCCAGCCACCCTCCCTCTCTTGCTCTCTCTCCTCAGGAAGCCAAGAATACCAGGAATAAAACCACGTAAAATCAATTAAGCCAAGTTTCTCAAAGCAGACAAGAGCAAAGCAGGTAGCAATTTTCCCAAAGCGGACCAGGACCCGAGGCATGGAAGCTTCTCTCTTGAAGCCCTGTACTCGGGTGCTAGTACTCCCTCTAGCACTAGCTCTTAACTCAAAATGATGCTCGCATGTCAAAGCAAACAAAGGTAGAGCGATGTCTCTTAACTCAAAACGCTCTTACATTAGGACATTCTAAAGTCAAAGTTCCACTGTAATATGCAGAAGATTATCAAGTTTCATTTCCTGAAGCTGTTTGAAAGCTTACAGTAAAGAAAAAGTACTATTTAACAAGTTTGATATTTACGTTCTGGATTTGTTGGCTGCGTTCAAAAATAGCCTGGGCATCATTCTCCTTCTCAGTATCCAGTTCATATACAGCAGTTGCTCCCATGTCCTCTGGACCTACAGGTTTCTAAAAGATGAATAATCTCTTATTAGGGCAGAAAGCTTTTTAAAAAGCAAGCGACAATAGTACTATCCGAATAATTCACCAAAATAGATGTACACATAGTAGCACACTTTCAAGTCTTCCTCATTTATCTTTTTTCTGTTATTCAAGTGCTAGAGCCTACCAGCCAACACAAGGTGCAAAAAGTGGCTAGGAAAGCAAGGCATACAGTATTGGCTCAAAGTGAAGACAGTTACTTACTATATCCTGTTGGGCATCAGTTGAGATAACCTGCATAAGCAAGTTCTTTACATCTGAGTTAGTATACAAAACTTAAATTATCACAAGTCAATAAAAACATTTTACAGATAAAGAACATGAGGCTGAAAGACAAGCTACTATTGCTCCAACTGTTCGGGGGTAGAAATCTTGTCAATCGATAGACATCATCTCAAAGTACAAAGTTGTTGCTGCTATTATAAAATATCCATACCGCAGATCTTGTAGACTTATAGGCCACTCCAATTCCTTCAGGCTTGCCTTCATCATCACTACTACTTGAGCCATATGAGGTATTGTCTTTCACACTTTTTTTGGTCTGGAAAAAAAGAATCAGGACAGTGAATTTTAGACTGAGAAGGGGCCTATCCTTATCTACACTTGGGAAAGGGTCAGTGACGGGCAATACCTTCTGAATCATAGGATTGGAAACTTCCTTTCTTCTCTCCTTCCTGACCACTGTACTGCTTTCATCACTACTCTCTCCTGCAGAACAGAGAATGACGCATAGAGATAGTCATTACCAAAAACAACAACAAAACTAACTACATTTAGCCCAACATATTCATGTATTCTGTATCTGATCTGGGCCAGAGTGAAGAGAGAGGGGGCCAGGGGACAGTTCCATCTTGTCTCCTGTGCTATGCTAATAATCTATATAAATAAAAATGTAATGTTCGTTTGTGGGATTAACATAACTCAAAAATCACTGGACAAATTGACACAAAATTTTGACACAATGCACCTATCAGGCCAACAAGTGACCATCACTCATAAAAACACTGGAAAACACAGCGGAAGTGACTTAAAAAGCCAAAAACAAAAAATACATTAAAAAAATACAAAAAAGCCAAAAACAAAAAATATTTATGTGCACATATCCACATAAATACACATATACACATATGTACACACACAAAACACATATACACAGACTAGGGAGGTTTGGCCCAATTCTGTGTGGGAGGTTTGGCCCAATTCTATCATTGGTGTGGTTCAGAATGCTCTGTGATTATAGGTGAAGTATAAATCCCAGCAACTACAACTCCCAAATGTCAAGATTCTATTTTCCCCAAACTCCACCAGTGTTCACATTTGGTTTGTGGTGAAAAGGTGTTTCAAGGCTCAAGAGCAGCACATATTCAAAGAGTTATAATGTATTCCTAATTCGCTTCTGACACGATAAATAAATAAGCGGGCTAGCCGATGAGCTTCGTTAGCAAGGGATAGTCATAGGTGTCTTCGCCTATGCCTGATTTAAAACACAGGCCCCAGCGTCGTTGTTTAAAGCAGGGCCCAAATGCTCCCTCCCTCCAGGACTTGAGACCCACAGAAGCCGGCGAAGGTTCCCCCATTTCCTGGGGACCCCGTCTCTCCCGGTTCTGGGCTCCTCACCGGATTCCCTGTCGCTGGCGGGCCTCTTGCGCTGAGCCCTCCCCTGCGCGGGGCGACGCTTCTTGAAGAGGAAGCTGCAAACAGGCTTCTCGTCCGCCATCTTGGTTGTGAGTCCAAGCGGAAGGGGAAAAGGCCCGGACCGCTTTGGGGCGCTCTAGCCCTTGGCGACTCTATAGATGGCGTTCTATAGATGACACGACTGTGCATTGGAGAGTCACGCGCAGTTAAGAGCTTCCGAGGTCGCTCTGCTCTGCAAAGGGGAGAAAAGGGGAGGACTTTTAGTATCACTCTCTTTTTTGCTCATCTATAAAATATATTATGCATTAAATATGTGTGTATGTGTATGCATATGCATATAGAAAATATATTATTTATTTTTATTTTAAAATTTTTATATATATATATAAATAAAATATATTATATATTTTTATTTTAATATATATATATATATATATATATATATAAATTATATATATATAGAAAAAATATATTTTATTAATATATATATATTATATTCTATATTCTATCTTCTATCTTCTATATATATATATAAAATTTATTATATATTTCATTTTAATATATATATATATATAATACTAGCTGTGCCCTGCCACGCGTTGCTGTGGCCTATAGTAAAACTTATCAAAGTTGAGGTAGATATCTGGACTATTATGAAAGAGAGGCCTACCTATTCCTTCCCCCCTTTTTCTTTCCCTTCCCCTTTTTCTCCTTTCTTCCTTCTCTACCTCTTTCTTTCTTTCACTACTTGGTTTCATCCTTCTCTCTTTCCTTCATTCCCTCCCCCTTTCTTCCTTTGCCTTTCTTCCCTCCCTGTTTGCTTCCTTCTTTCACTTTTTATTTCCTTTTATTTTACCACCATCATAACAATAACAATAATGCAATGCATTGCCTCTGGGACCTGACACCTCTCCCATTCCTCCAGGGTCTCATAGATAATAATAATAATAATAATAATAATAATAATAATAATAATAATAGAAATAACAACCTTTACCCGCCACGTGTTGCTGTGGCCAATCTTCCCTCTTTCTCTCTTTCTTTCCCTCCTTCCTTCCTTCCCTCCCATCTTTCCTTCTCCTCTTCTTTCTCTATCTCTTTCTTTCCTTCCCCCTTTTTCTTTCTTTTCTGCTGTCTCTCTTTTCTTTCCATCTTCCCTTTTCTTTCCTTTTCTTCTTCTTCCTTTCTCTAACTTTCCTTCCTTCCCACTTTTTCTTTACCTCCCTTTCTCTTTCTTCCTTCTTTCCTTCCTTCCTGTCTTTCCTAGATTTTGACAGGGCGGGAAGGGGCGGGGTGGGGGTTGGAGGGGCATGAAGTAAAAGGAGGTAAGATTGGGGTGGGGGGAGTGTGGAGCGTGCGTGTGTGTGTTCGGCGGCGGGGGGAGTGATGGAGCGTGGGGTTATGTGTGTGTGCGGCGGCGGGGGGAGTGGGGTTGCGTGTGGGTGTGCGGCGGCGGGGGGAGGGATGGAGCGTGGGGTTGCGTGTGTGTGCGGCGGGGGGGGGGTTGCTTGTGTGCGTGCGGCAGCGGGGGAAGTGATGGAGTGTGGGGTTGCGTGTGTGTGTGCGGCGGCGGGGGGAGTGGGGTTGCGTGTGTGTGTGCGGCGGCGGGGGGAGTGATGGAGTGTGGGGTTGTGTGTGTATGTGCGGCAGGGGTGTGTGTGTGCGGGAAGCGGCGCGGCGGGGCTTGGAGTGGGCATGGTTTCCGCAGAGGGAACGTTGGCCGGAAGGGCATGTGCGCGCGCCAGGGAACTTGCGGCTGGGCGCCAATGCGCATGCTCAGTTGTTTTGTCGTTTTGTGAGTGTGTTGTTGTGTTGTTTTTCATTTTGAGTAGATATGTTTGTACCTTGTGGGTTGTGTTATGGGCATGGGAATTTTGGTTAAGTTTCGTTGGGGGATTTTTGAGTTTTGTTGTTTTGCCGTTTTGTGAGTGTGTTGTTGTGTTGTTTTTCATTTTGAGTAGATATGTTTGTACCTTGTGGGTTGTGTTATGAGCATGGGAATTTTGGTTAAGTTTCGTTGGTTTTTTTGAGTTTTATTCTTTTGCCGTTTTGTGAGTGTGTTGTTGTGTTGTTTTTCATTTTGAGTAGATATGTTTGTACCTTGTGGGTTGTGTTATGGGCATGGGAATTTTGGTTAAGTTTCGTTGGGGGTTTTGAGTTTTGTTGTTTTGCCATTTTGTGATTGTGTTGTTGTGTTGTTTTTCATTTTGAGTAGATATGTTTGTACCTTGTGGGTTGTGTTATGGGCATGGGAATTTTGGTTAAGTTTTGTTGGGGGGTTTGAGTTTTGTTGTTTTGCCGTTTTGTGAGTGTGTTGTTGTGTTGTTTTTCATTTTGAGTAGATATGTTTGTACCTTGTGGGTTGTGTTATGGGCATGGGAATTTTGGTTAAGTTTCGTTGGGATTTTTGAGTTTTGTTGTTTTGCCGTTTTGTGAGTGTGTTGTTGTGTTGTTTTTCATTTTGAGTAGATATGTTTGTACCTTGTGGGTTGTGTTATGGGCATGGGAATTTTGGTTAAGTTTCGTTGGGGGGTTTTTGAGTTTTGTTGTTTTGTCGTTTTGTGAGTGTGTTGTTGTGTTGTTTTTCATTTTGAGTAGATATGTTTGTACCTTGTGGGTTGTGTTATGGGCATGGGAATTTTGGTTATGTTTCGTTGGGGTTTTTTTGAGTTTTGTTGTTTTGCCGTTTTGTGAGTGTGTTGTTGTGTTGTTTTTCATTTTGAGTAGATATGTTTGTACCTTGTGGGTTGTGTTATGGGCATGGGAATTTTGGTTAAGTTTCGTTGGGGGTTTTTTGAGTATTGTTGTTTTGCCGTTTTGTGAGTGTGTTGTTGTGTTGTTTTTCATTTTGAGTAGATATGTTTGTACCTTGTGGGTTGTGTTATGGGCATGGGAATTTTGGTTAAGTTTCGTTAGGGGGTTTTTGTGTTTTGTTTCCTCGTTGGATGCCCCTAACAAATTTATATATATAGATTTCAAATTTGCATCCATTTTCCAGTTATTTTAAAAATTATATATATATATATATATATAGAATATATTTTTTATTAATATTATATATATATATTATATTCTATATGCAAAGGGGAGAAAAGGGGAGGACTTTTCGTATAACTCTTTTTTGCTCATCTATAAAATATATTATGCATTAAATATGTGTGTCTGTGTATGCATATGCATATAGAAAATATATTATATGTTTTTATTAAATATATATATATATTCTATATGTAAAGGGGAGAAATGGGGAGGACTTTTAGTTTAACTCTCTTTTTTGCACATCTATAAAATATATTATGCATTAAATATGTGTGTATGCTTATGCATATGCATATAGAAATATATTATATATAGGACTTTTAGTATAACTTTTACACATAAAATATGATTACATATATACAAGATACATACATACATGTATTATGTGTGCTTATATATAGTAGGGGATTTGTGGTAGAACTCCTTCGAGCATCTATAAAATATCCATTATAGATATACACACACATTCACACACATATATACATATGCATATATAAAGTATATTGTATATAGGACTTTAAGTATAACTTTTGCACACACATAAAATATAGTTACGTATATAAAATATACTATATATATATTATATATGTGCAATGCATTGTGCATAAAGAAATATATATGGGACTTTTAGTAGAACTCTTCTTTGCGCATTTAGAAAAGATATTATATAATATATATACATATACATACATATATATATATATACACACACGCACACATATATCTAAAATACACACCAGACTTTTACTATAATGTGTATAAAACATATATTTACATATATAAAATATCTATAGAATATATTATACATATATTATGTATATATGTGCATATCAATCCAAAACTGTTTCCAACATCTTAAAACAATACAAATCCAAGAACAAATATAACACAAAATAAATCACACTATGAAATAGCATATAAATAAGCCTATAAAGATAAAAAACCCATTTAAAACTAAATACACCTGATATGGGGTCCCGTCACTTCATATAACACATTTTGCTCAATTTCATTAAAAAATTGTTTTCCTGTTACATGTATTTTATATACATCTGTAAAATATATTATACATATATGTGTGTGTGGATATAGAATATATATATAGGACTCTTAGTATAACTCTTTTTTGCGCATATATATATATATATATATATGACTTTTAGTATACCTTTTACATATATAAAATATATTATATACATATAAAATATATATGCACATATATAAAATACAGATATGACTTTTAGTATACCTGCGCATATATAAAATATATTGTACATAAAACATATATATATATGCACATATAGAAAATATATTATAGATATGACTAGTATAACTCTTTATGCATAAATAAAATATACATATATAAAATATATACATATATAATATATATGCACACATAAAATATATAGGACTTTTTGTAAACTCTGTACATATATAATATATACATATAAAAATATATAGAACTTTTCATATAACTTTTTGTGCATATATAAAATATATCATACATACACATATATATATATTGTGTGTGTGTGCAAACAAAGTTATACTAATATTCCTATATACAAGGCTCAAAATCTTGCAAATCTTTTGGGGGGAGAGGGGAATTTGTTTTTAGGGGATGTATAAATAACACTATGTAACACAATTTTTGTTCCTGGGTTATAAGCCTCATTTCCTAATTGGTTCTATCATAAAAACTTGGAAAAAGTTTATTAAATTGCCAAAACATTGTATTTGCAAGACATCCTGCAGCACATTTTGCTATAGTTTTTTATGAATTTCTCATGGAGTCTCAACCAATTCAACATAATTGCCACAAAAAGTTTCTCGAGTATAACAACTACTTTCAAACTACAGCACAATAAACAGGAAATAACACTTTCAAACCAGGAACCGAACATTTTTTTTTACATAGTGTAATACAAGTGATATGTAAACATTTCAACTAGTTTCCTCAAATGTGGAATGAGAACATATGCTGCAAAAAATAAAGTAAGAAAATATCCTAATTGCTATTAGATAGCTGCGTATTTCCCCTACCTCAAAACAAAAAAGTAGCAGCAGCGGACACAGGACCTTTTTGCT